GGAAGCCGTGGCCAACTTGGGGGCGGCACGAGGCTTCCTCACGGACGCAGCCTACCTGCTGTGCGGAGAAGCACTTCACTCGCTGCACCTTTGGCAGCAAGGCAGCGGACCAGTGCTGGTGGAAAGCCAGGACGGGGCGAACACAGAGACAAGCGCCGAAGTTGGGGCGTCAACTCTGTGGCCCACAACAGGGGCGACACAGACTCAGCTGGACCCCGACGACGAGCCAACCGGGGCGCAACAGGACCCAGGGGACGAAGAGAGAGCTGCACTGGCGGACCTCGAGGCACAGCTGGAGTTCGAAAGACAGTGTGGAGAACAAGAGGCACAACACGATGCCTCACAAGAAGAACACGGGGCGGCAGCCCCGCTAGACGCGGACTACGAAGAGGGCGAGGCAGCGGGGGACTACGGGGACTACGGGGACTACGTCGACCCCGTGACCAGACGGCGAGTGACCTCGAGCCCCACTGACAGACCCACGCCTTACTCTTCCCCTGACCGCAGCGACTGAAGGGTTGCACACCCAGGGGCGAATGCCCCTTAAAGCTCCGAGTCCTGTGATCCACATGTTATTGTACTCCCAAGTTGGTGTGTTTGTATGCTGCAACGGGGCAGGTAGTGTAACAGGCTAGGACTGGCCCCACGTCGTGTGATCTGCAAAATACTCTGCAACCTTGTTTTGCAATCGGGGCGACAGCTAGGCTCGACAGGTTAGGTCCCGAGAAGATTACCCTAGGCCAGCGAAGCGTAAACCAGTAGACCTCGGAGCGTCGAGACCACAGTCGAGACCCTAGTCCGTAGCAGTACCGTGTGGCCCCAGTCCTGTGATCTGTACCGTACTACGCATTTCGTGTGTTGCTTGAAAGCGGGGCGAACTAGGTACCAAGCGCGGCCCGAGGGCCCAAGCGGAGTGGAGCCGAGAGTGTTCTAGCATGCACACTGTAGGCCAAACCTGCATCAGGTGAATGCGAAGTGTTGTTGTGTTCATACAGGCCCACTCGTAGCCAGCCTCCTCGAACTGCCAACAGTGGAACATCCACGAAATACAGGCAGTGGGCGATACGAGGGTGCAATACTTTACTCGTACTGGAACTTTCGGGGCGTAGACCACAGTATCGCCGGGGAGTGCTCGTTGTTCCAGCATGTAATACACATGCATACAACCAACAGACGGGCGGCTCCCGCGGGGGCTCGCCCTCAGGCCCGGAGAAAGAAAGAGTGTTGGAAAGAGTCGGCAGTGGGCAAGCTACAGAACCCCAATACGGGGGTCAAATCGTCGAGCACTCAGCTCGGGACAGAGGTACGACACCGGCTGTAGGGGGTCATAGCCTGAGTCGTCGAGGCGGGTTCGGGTTTAATCTAGTGGTTCGGGTGGGGGTGCCGGTGAATCGTGCCGTAAGAAGTCTCGGTAGCGGAAACGCGCGAGGGGAGGCGCGCACCTTCCTCCTCTCTGGCTGTGTTGAAGAAGAGAAAGAGAAGTAAATCGCCAAAACAACATTGTGTTTGGGCGAACCGATGGCCTGAGGAGAAGAGAAAGAGAAGTAAATCGCCAAAACAACATTGTGTTTGAGCGAACCGATGGCCTGAGGGTCATGACATGAGAACGAAGCCCAGCAGAAAGAAAGAAGTACATCGCCAAAATGTAATGGTTTCGGATTGGTTCAACGAAGTGCCCAAGCCGTTTAAATGAGATGATGTCTATGCATCGATGTCACCGGCAAGCGAGGCCAGCCAGAAGCGCACACAGGTAGCCACTACACCAGCCATATCTCGGGGCTTGCAAGGGGCCAAAGCTTTACCTCCACCGAACATGCTCATGTTCCCTGACATGTATGTTCCGTGCCTGCGCTAGGACCTTCAGAAGCCAAAACGCGCCAGGTAAGGCCTCCGAACTTTGCACCAGGCAGCTTCAACAATGCGATCGACATGCCAACGGAACCATAGCACGGCTTCCTCGCTGTCCTCCGAGGCTTTTTCTTGGTGGAAGAGACATGCATCCGCGTTACGGGTGCCGTGTTTTGCACTATCCTTGGCTGCCTCCTCCTCATTGTCGTCGACAAACTGGCCGAACCTCAGACAGCCTGATGGGTTAAGCCCAGGGAGCAGAATATCGTTGAGCATCTTTTGCCGGGCCAGGTAGCAGTAGCGCTGGGATACTTGAGTCAGCTTCGTGGACTTCAGGACTTCTCCTTGATCGGGGAGGCTGAGGCCGAGGCATTGGCACGGGCCCTGGGCCCTGCACGCCCTGCACGGGTTGCGTAGTGAGTTTTGCCGGTCCGAAGCAGCGCTCGAAGGGTGTGTTAGCAGTCAGTGCTGTCAAAATCCGGGCGTATGAGATTTGTTCATGCCGCGGCCACGAAGTGTCTGGTATTGGTCGCAGAATCCAGACTACATCGCGAAAAGGTCAGGTCGGATACTGACTTCCGTGCAGGCTGCATGGAATCCTGGAGCCTTACAAGCAGCCCGAGCGCAGAGTTTTGTTGCATACCGTAGGACACAAAAACGTGGCATCTACAACGAACGTGGATATTGATTCTGCAACCCGACAGAACGGTGACCCAGGTGCGGACGTTTGGCTTCATGATTGGCTGCTCCTGGGCACCTCGACTTGAAGACCCTGGGGGCATGTCGGTGCTGTAGGCCGCCCCAGCGTGTGCTTACCTTCCGGAGCCGATCCGAATGCGGAACGGAGAAGTACAGTAGGCGCTTTGACGGAGGACGTCACGAAAGGGGAAGGAAGAGAAAGCGAGAGCGACGAAGCCAAGAGGAAATTACCGGTGCGCAGAGCTTGCAGGGTATCATATCATCTGCGTCGCCCGCATGTCCAGGCTTACACTTGTGCACTTCTTAGCAGAGGAATCTGCCTGAATGCTTCACCGATAAAATGGGGCCCTGAGACATCAAGACCAGAGTCTACTTCATGCACGATGCAAGAAAGGGGAGACAGCCAAGCAATGCTTAAAAGTCCACAACAGGTCAATGGCAGAAGCTGCCGCTCCCTCCGATCTGCGACATATGATAGCCCTTGATTCGGGGATCAAGGTAGGAGGTTGTCGCCAGACACGGGGGCAGGAACAACGAACCTGGGATGGCATTCTGGCAGCATGTGTTGGATCTACTTCACCCCTGTGCGACGAGTGCACACAAGGGAACCTGGCTGAAGAGACGCAGCAGAATGAGAACAGCGACAGGGCTTCTGACAGTTCAACAGACGACGAAGATTTCAGAGAAATGGCCTTCAGGTGCATAATCCAGTTTCGTGCTGGGCACGGCGAGGAAAGGAGACTTCATGTCGTCAACGTGAGAAGATAGGCCGCGGCTTTCAGAACCTTCTTTCCGGCGCCTGGCCGCCTCCAACAGCCTGAACAACGGCCACGGCGCACACGACAACTGCAAAGGTGCAAGAGGGGTAGCGCTCGAACCAAGTCTGATCCTGCCGCCGCGACGGAGCAGGAGGCAGCCGAACACACCGAAAGTGTCAAACAACACCCACTTTGCATGGCTCTGCCATCGAGCCCCTTTGTTGCAGGAACTCCCGCCCACAAAGGAGACTGTGCAATTTCAATGGGTGGTGAAATCCCCTGTTTGGCGGCGAGGATGGTTGGTAAGGTGCACATGTTGCTTATGCTATGCTGGGAACATCTGAGAACAACAGTCAGCATCGTTCCGGCTCAATCCTTGATGTTGCGGCTGCTACAACAGATGCAGGAGGCAACCTTCATAACATATGCGGCGGCAGTAGTTTAGGAGTAAGAGTTGATGGGGTCGTTGTTGGTGTCGGAGACTGCGGTGTGTTCGGAGGTGGTTGCTGGGAGAGTGAGCCCCAAAACGAGGAGCAACACCGCTTCTTCAAACGCCTGCTGCATACTCTGTCATGGTCTAGTTCTACCATGTCACACAGTACTCAGTTTCAGCTGGCAAGGAAAAGGCCTTTGCGGCGGCTTCGCATGAGATCCGTGGCTGAATTAGTTCTTGCTCTCAGTCAGTACTCTGCTGGGCCGCCTGGTCGGTGAGTGCTTGTGCTCAGTTTCATCCAGCATAAGTATTATCATCTTCTGGAGTGTCAATCTTGAGATGTGACGGCTTGCCTCTCAGGATAGTGCACCATCTCAGCCACTGGGATTTAGTCAATCACGAGTTCTTCGACAACGAGGTCTGGCATCACCACACGGGGCTGTTGGGTGGGGACGGGACTGAACAGTGGTCACATCTCGCGGAGCATGAGAAATCCTAGGACAGCACCAATTATGTGGTCCCTTGTCGCGTGCTTGCGCCAGGATCAGGTGCTCATCAGCATCGTGACCGCTGCTTGGCGAATGACTCCACTGCCACTGCCGTCCGGTCATCACCAAGCATCAATGCCAATTTCGCGAGCCAGGCTTTGGTTGTTTCCTACAGTAGGCAGCGCTCGACAAGACCCATATGACCCGCCAGTCTAGGTGCTTGTGATCCTGCCTGGCTGGCGCTACCTCGTGCTGCCGAAGGTCCTTTCCTAGAGCGGCACAGGTCTGTGAAAGGTGTGCTCGCCCCTCGATTTGCCTGGCAGGCGTTGCAACCCACACCGCCACGCTCTACGAAGGACTGGTTCAAAACCTCTGCCACGACATATAATTTTTGGCATTGGCACAAGTCTTCATTCGTATGTCATGTGGACAGTCGACAATGCGCTGCACAGTCCCTACGTCGTGTGACCAGGAGAAACACGCAGAGTGATAGCAGATCGCCTGCGATAGGTGGGCCTAGCTTCTATTTTCCGCAGTTCTACCTCGATGAGGGATGAGGAGAGGCATGAGGGACATGCTACAATAGAGGTTCCTTCTGTCAGACATTGGCATCAGGACAATTCCTCGCAAAGGGCCACTAAGGAAGTTCAAACTCACCAAGTCTCGCTGGCCCAGTGGAGTGGAAAAGGAGCATTTGTGCATCTCTCAAAGTGCAAGTGCTGCAAACCTAAAATGGAAAGCGGTTGCATGCTTCGGCGAGTTTTTGCGGTGCAGGCGGCCCCAACAAACCTCTCCAACGCCGACTTCCGCAAGTTTCTGCCTTGTTGAGAAGAACCCGAGAAGTGCTTGCTCTGATCTAGCGAGAACGTTGCAGTGGCGCCGCACGACAAGGGCCGTGAAGACCGGCGGCGGTTCACAGGTTCATGACCTGTCGGCGACGAGCTGCTTGCGCTGGTTTGTGTGACTTTCCAAGTTGCACCCTCTTCACAATCCCGTGTGTGCTGCAAGCAGTAAATAACAGCATTGGTGAAGAGGGGCTTGGAAGAGTTCGTAGAGAACTCCTGCGTGGCCTCACGGGTCAAAGCCCCAAGGCATGCGATCATAGAAGATGCGCATGGCTCCATCGGAAACGTGGCAATCCATTGCGGCGTGTTTCGCACGAAGAGTCTCCAAGACACCCAGTTCTGTTGTGCTTTTTAACAGCTTGAGAAAGGTTTACCCTGCATGTATCGCTGCGAGGCTGTTTGTGCCAGCATGTCCCGACCATGATCTAGAATAGTGATATCATCGCAATTGGCTTCACGGTTCGGACCACATCACCGCAGACGCTCTTGCACTCTTGCTGCGCATCTTTGTCGCAGCAGACGCCATGTCCTGGCCCTGGCTGCAGTCGATGGCACTTGACTTGGTGGCCGAAGCACTTTAGGATCCTGCTTGCGCTCGTTCTGCTCTATCAGCGACACACGCTGGACACACCTATTCCTTCCCACACCTTCCAGGTGGTTAGAATAGAAGCGAAGGCTGTTTTCCGTTTGAACGACCGTGGTCATTTAGTCTGCTTGTGTTCAGACCAAAAGCGGACATGGTAAGATGGGTTTTGCTCGCGTTACTTGGGGAACGAGATTGGTCCTGCAATTCAACCAAGATGGTTAAAGATAGTAGATAGTGCACACACCCTTTGCTTGCATTATTCGTATTTCAGTCACAACGAAATTCTTAATTTACATGAGCTTTAGACAATTTTCGTACATAATAAGTTCATTCATGCATACATACAGACGGCCGTGCATATACATTTCAATACTTGTCGGCATGGCAAAATTCTGGCTCGCAGTTTCTCACCAGAACGAGATCGCGTCATTACGTTGACGAGCTTGGTCGCAGAGGGTCAGAGCCCATTCGTTTTGCAGCCCAGCACTCTGACGACGAGCAGTACTCGTAGTAGTACTCCTCCTCCTCCTCCTCCTCCTCCTCCTACTACTACTACTACTACTACTCCTACTGCTACTGCTACTGCTACTGCTACTGCTGCTGCTACTGCTGCTGCTACTGCTACTGCTACTGTTACTGCTACTGCTACTGCTACTGCTACTGCTACTGCTACTGCTACTGCTACTGCTACTGCTACTACTACTACCACCACCACTACTACTACTGCTACTGCTGCTGCTGCTGCTCGTGCTGCTACTGCTACTACTACCCCTACTACTGCTACTGCTGCTGCTGCTCGTGCTGCTACTGCTACTTCTACCCCTACTACTGCTGCTGCTAGCTGCTGCTGTGCTACCGACACCCGCTAGCGCGGCTGCTACCTACTGATACTACTGCTACTACTACTATTACTACTACTACTACTACTACTGCTACTACTGCTACTACTGCTGCTACTGCTAATACTGCTACTACTGCTACTACTGCTACTACTGCTACTACTGCTACTACTGCTACTACTGCTACTACTGCTACTACTACTACTACTACTACTACTACTACTACTACTACTACTAGTACTACTGTTCGTGTGAGTACGAGCAACCGCAAGGCATGGGCGCCGAAACTAATCAGTACTCAGCTACTGTCACTACTACTACTGCTACTACTGCTACTACTACTACTACTACTACCACTACTGCTACTACTACTACTCCTTATACTTCTGCTGCTGCTGCTACTGCTGCGACTGCGGCTGAGACTGCTGCGACGGCGACAGCCGCCGGCACTGCCACTGCTATTGTCCCTGCTACTGCTCTTGCAACGGCTACAGCTACTGGTACAGCTGCAGCCACTGCCACTGCCGCTATTGCTTCTTCTACTGCTGCTGCTGCTGGTGCTTCTGCTGCTGTTGCTCTCACTCCTGCTATAGCATGAAGCCTTTGTGGCATGCAGACATGTATAGCATGTGCTCTCGAACGAGAACGAGACTCCCCGAAATCCTGACATGAGTCCGGAAACCAGCCCTACTTGGGAACGAGATAAGGGCCCGCAGTTAGGAGAAACCTGAGGTGACACCGTGCTTAACCTGCGAGCCTTGCCGTCCGGACAAGGCGGGCGAAGAACTGCAGCTTCGTGCTGGTTTCAATCGCTCGAACATTCTGCGAATCGATAAACTTAGCACCTCTTGGCACCTTGATTAGTTCGGTCCTCCGCCGGCCGGTTCGTGATCCCTCGTGGAATTGCCCTGGCGCAGGATAGCTCTTGCGGCGAACGGCGGCGAAACTCCAGACAGCGAAGCAGGCCTTCCGTTGTAGCGTTTTTTGTGGCCTGCAAGTCTTGCAGGCCTGTTGCCAATACGTGTCGTCGGGTTGGACATCGTCGAATCGTGGGGCGATGTCGCATTGACAATTGAAGAGTAGACGGTCAGATGCCGCATGCAGAGAACGGCTCTAGCAGGATGGCAAAGAAACTGGAACAACTCAGCACCAAGAACTTTCCATGCATCGCCCTTTTGTCCAACAAGCTTTTCAATGCTCCCTCGGCATCCGACGGGAAGGCGACCCACGCTGCCGCGTCCACTGCAACTCCACAGTGGAAGGCCCCTGCATGTCTGACATGTCTCTGGTCGCCTGTGCCGCATCCGCGGGACAATCGCACCATATACTGAGATTCCTCGTAGAGTTCTGCATGCGAGGGGAACCACGAGCTCTTCGACTCTTGATAGTAAGACCTGAGGTCTCCTGGTAGAAGCCGTGGTGTTACACGACGACATAGTTTGTGGCTCAAGTCTTGTAGCAACGAGCTTTCCGTGTGGGCTTCCTTCTGCTACTTTCCACCCCGCGCGGTTGCCTGCTGTGGGAAGTCAAAGTCCTTTTGAAGCACAGCGGTGGAGGCAGCTAGAAGGCTGCGCATGACTCGAGGCACCAGCAATGAGGAGCTTGAGCAAGATGAGGAACATGGCTATAGTTCCCTTTCCTCGGGCTGGAGCGAAAATCACCCGCCTCTTAGCTGGCTGATGGGTCCACTCTTATCAGCACAACCCTCAACCCCCCTTTCACAAAACCCGTAGGTCCTCTTGAAACCGACCGCTGGCCGGCTGTTGAAAGGAGCTAGCTCGAGCCCGGCGGCAAGAGCATGGGAATCTGGGGTCTTTGTAGCTTTCCTCTACCATCCGAAAGCTAAAAAAGCGGCAGCAACACTCAACAGCTCGGCAACGCTCCAACTTGCAATTAAAACATCAGCACGATGACGACCAGTGGCTTTGGTTTTCAGAGCGATTCCAATCATGTGCACTGCCCGGAACCACTTCTCGAGACTCTTGAGGTTTGCATCTTGGCGACACGTGGCTTATATTGCTTTGTGCACAGCGACAATAAGCAGTCTGGTCGGAACAGCGGTCGGGTTCAAAGTAAAAGACGATTCCGGTGCACATTCCAGCAACGTGGAAGTGGCCTTCACCGAGGAGCTGGGCATGGCTGCAGTTTGGGCTCGTCATTCCAAAACAGTGCTTCCAGACCTAGTCAGTTCTCTTGCTGAGTCCCCTGGCAGGACCGTCCGACCTGTTCCATGCCCCTTTCGCCAGTGTATGCAGAAGAGCCACTGGCCAAACATATCGTGCGCAAGTTCGACCAGTATCTCATGATGCAAGCTGCTTTTGCAACGAGCGAGTCTCAGCTGTAAACTAGCCAGTCGGGCGACAAGCTCCCCAGATTTTTGCTGGCATGTGAGTCGCAAGTCTTCGTCTCATCGCTTTGATCGTGATGGCGTGGTTAAATCAGGCAGGCAGCATGCATGCGGAAAGACGCCCTGTCAGGAACAAAAGTTCGAAGCCGTCTCGCAGTGGCTGGCCCCTGAGTTTGAGTGTCTCGTCTGATGAAGAGGACGACGTGCTATCTACCTGCGTACCATCCGTGTACACGTCTACCTACCGGTGGGCAATCTGTCGATCTGTCTATCCATCTGCCCGGCTCGCTTAGTCACATACGTATACACACAGGCATCCATACATGCAGGCAGACAAACATGCACATGCACAATCACTCGCATGTGTGCGCGCCCACACACACATCACACGTTGCATGCTATCAACAGCTCTCCCTCTCTCTCTCTCTCTGTCTGTCTCTCTCTGTCTCTCTCTCCCTCTCCCTCCCTCTCCCTCTCCCTCTCCCTCTCCCTCTCCCTCTCCCTCTCCCTCTCCCTCTCCCTCTCCCCCTCCCTCCCTCTCCCTCCCTCCCTCTCCCTCCCTCTCTCCCTCTCCCTCTCTCTCTCTCTCTCTCTCCTCTCTCTTCTCTCTCCCTCTCTCTCTCTCTCTCTCTCTCTCCCTCCCTCTCTCGCTCTCTCTCTCATCTCTCTCTCTCTCTCTCTCTCTCTCTCTCTCCCTCCCTCCCTCTCTCTCTCTCTCTCTCTCTCTCTCTCTCTCTCTCTCTCTCTAGGTGCTGATCTGTGTACATGTATGTATGCTTGCGGCTGCCTGTTTGTCCGTCGTCCGTCTGGCGTCATGTCGGGAATGAACACATCAAACCGGCCACGGTGGAGACATCGCGTCTAGATGTTTTCTAATTACAGTCTCACAAGTGAGAGCACAGGTGTCCGCAGCATCTGTTTTGACCGCGTGTTGCCCTAAGGGTTGCAAGTGCAGTCGTCTTCCTGCAATCTTGATGATCTAGTGGTATCTCGATAACTTCTGGTTAGGGTTCTCAAAAGATCACTGATTAGTTAATTTTTTCGGGCATTGGCATGTCACGTGTCAGGTATCAGACGGTTGGGTTTCCCACTACCCATGGCCTCAAAGACTGGGTCTTCGGGGGCGAGGAGTCGGAGTTCCGCCGTGCATTTCACCCGTCGGTCTTCTCGCAGATGCTCTTTTTTGGCGACACGGGCCACGCAACGACCACATCGTATGGCAACGTGCGCTGGGTTGCGGACCTGTTCGGGATACCAGCTCAAAATGCATGGGTCTACTTCAGGGTGCTGGACTTCTACAGTCTTCGCCACATTGGCCCTGGCCGAGGCCTGTTGAACTGGAAATGTGGCTGAAGATGCAAGCTGTTTTGGTAGAGCTCATGCATTTGCTCGAAGCGAGATCGAAGGAATCTTATGATGATCGACTGGGCCGATCTTTTTCGGCAAGTGGGACGTCCGGTGCTACCGCCTGCACCCTTGCCAGAGGGCTTAGCACCCTGGCGAACCACAAGCCCACAAGAATGTCCCATGAACGCAACTGGCCAGAAAGCACCAGTCGCTGCCACGACCTCGCATGTCTTTCCAGGCAAGTCAAGCCAGTGAAGCCGCCAAATTCAGGAACTTTTCAGCCAGCTCGTCGAAGCACCGCAGTCCTAAAGCACGCTGAAAGTTTGACACATGACGCAATACCCAGGGCAGTGAAAACAGCACTTGACACAGTTGGCACCCTTGAAGTCCTATACTTGATTGGTGTAGGTAGTCCTTGGAGCACGTGGGAATGCCTTATCCGATGATTGTAGGGGACGGTGTCTGGGGTTCCGCCCAGGTCTTAACGGCTGCCGCGAATGATGGAGTTCCTGCACCGCTTTCTGTGATGGTGCCTCTGCCAGCAATTTGTAGACTCGTTAAGTGCTGCGTTTCGTAAGTTGCAGACGGCTCAAGCGGAAGCAAGAGCGAATGCACTTAAACGTGCCAGTGTAAGACGGAAACTGGAGCCAGAAGCCCTGTGGCAATTGGAGGCCTTGGTGCGCGCGGATGAATTACGAGGAAATCCGAACCAAGCCCGCTGCAGGTGGCCGGTCGCAATAGCACGGAAGCGAAGCTCGTTGCAGAAGCAGCCTTGAATGAGTGGGCGAACGACGACAGGAGCCTGTCTTTAGATGCTGGAAGCTACCATTCATTTTCTTGATTTTGAGCGGCAAGGACTCCAAGTGTAGCGTGGCCCAAGGTGGTCACCACCAAACCAAGCTACTTGTAGAGGGGCTGCAACTGTAACGACTACGAATCTGAAAGACAAATGCTGCAGCAGAAGCGAGAGTTGTGTTGTGTCGTGTTGTTGCGGCTGCTCGGGCATGCCAACCTGCAGATCTAGGAGCTTGCAGCTTGCGATCACTGCAGGGACTGCATGCAGAGGGTACAGGACAAGTATGTCCCGTGGATGTGTATGCGTGTTTGCGGGACATGCGCGCTCGAGCGCAGAACCCTTCCCAAATATGAATTACCACGAATTACCCATGCTTTCAGCATGCCCTGTACTGCAGGAGTGAACGTTGGCGCCACGACGACTTCACTTTCTACGGCCCCGGCGGCATTGGCCTCGCCAGACGCCGAGAAGTTTACCAAAATCTCGCGACGAGGATGCAAAACGCGATAGACAGGTTGGCGCTTAGAAGACTTTGCCCGGCTGGTCGCCGTTTGTTGCAAAGTCAGCTGTGAACCTCAGTTGCTGTCTGACACGTGCTGATCGAAGGTGATTCAGCCGTTTCGAGCAGCTTTTGCCAAGCGCCGGGTGGAGAAGGACATGCTGTTCTGCGAGGGAAACTATTGTGCAGCGTGTGGGAGGTTCTGGGGCGAGCACGTTGGCACGTGGGTCGGACAGGTGGCGACTCAGAGGCGTGTCAGCTTGAGGTTCGGCATGCACTGGCGAGTGGAGGAAGGCAGGGTCCGGGAGGCTTGGGCGATTTTCGATTTCCCTGGCTTCTTGAAGCAGTTGGGCAAGGACTTCTACGACATAGCCAGGAAGCCCGACCTAATGCCAGTGTGACAGGTGGCGAGTTCGTCGGACTTCTTTTCGAGAAAAGCTAGCCGGCTATACCTTGCAAGCCGTCTTTACCTCGGCTAGCAAGCCACTGGCTGGTCTGCATCGTTCTGCGACATCGGCAGCAAGCCATTCGGGAGCAGCAAGCTTCTGTCAATGGCCTCATGCAGCGCGCGAGACATGAAGATGCTGGAGATTGTGCAGGCAAAGCGAAGACAGGCACATCTCAACAATCGCTGGGTCCTGGTGCCAACGGTGTGTACGGCGGGACAAAAAACGTGTGACAGTGCCAGCTGCTAGTTGAAGATGTGTCAACTGCTGCATGGTCAAGGTATGCCAAGGTCTTTAAATTTTCGTGCAGTTTCGCAGCCTTGAACATGGCCGAGGGAAAGCCCTCTGCTTCCGAACATGGTGGCCCCACGGCACCCCTTTCTGGTTCAGCCATAGGTCTCAGCTTTTCCTGCACATCCTGCACGTGTTAGTGTTACCCTGCGTTGCCCGCGCCGGCAGGCATCGTGTGGAAGTGGTCTCCTCACCTTTGGCAGGACTTCAAGGCCTCGTGGGCTATCACTCCTCCGTCGCTTCCTTAGGCCTCGTCACCTCGTCAATCACCCCTGTGCTTCAAAAAGCTTGGGAACAATCAGGTGCTGGTCGATGGGGAGGCCAGCCAAGGGCTCTGATCTGCAACCAGGTTTTGAAGGGTTTGTTGTGTCCGTCTTGCATCGTCGGTGCAGCTCGACCGCTGTGTGCAGGAGTACTATTTCACACCAAGCGGGATTCGTTGTTACCCGAGACTTACCAGCCACAAGAAAGCGTTCCTTGGACTGCTATTGGCTCAACTACTCAGCCGTGCATGTGTTGGTTTCATGCTTCTTTCTGAGGCGAGGTGTCCAACGGAAGCAGGTGGGCGAAAGCTGGCTACCGAGAATCTGTCGAGGGGACGGTTATGGAGAGAGGGCGAGATCACCGCTGAAGTGGTGTAGGGTGACGCGTTGTTCACCGTTCATGACGGTGAATTGACATCTCACGTCGTGGAAGTCTGGGAATGCGGAAGCGAGATGCAACTGACCGGTTGAGTGCTTGCTTTTGCTGCTGGTCAGGGGTCGAAAGACAGGGGTTGTACCCGTTACAGAGGCTACAAGTACTGTCACCGTATGTGTGTTCCCAGGCCCATTGGGCGGCACAGTTTTGCTCGACGTTCTGAGCAAAGACTTCCAGCAGATTCCTCAGACAAGATGAACACTTCGCAGCCGCAGAGGGCCACTTTAGTACTGCTATAATTGCACGAGCAGCGGCCAGATAGACATGATAAGGGTGACGGTCCGGCAGCTTTGCCCAGCCTGGCCGAATTTGGCGGACAACACATCGTAATCTGTAGCGTTCTACTGTTTCGACGGTTGGCTGGGCAAGCCGCAACAACAGGAAATGCTTTTTCACAACTACACGGCACTTTGTACAGAAGCTCGGATCTTCAAAGGTCAGCATCCACGTGTTGCGCAAGGTCTTGGTAAGCCAAACCCACCGAAGCGGCACCAGGTAACAACGAAGCTTCATGTGTCATGCAGGGGCAGGCCACGGTTAGGCCGGTTAGGTTAACGATGGGCCGAAGGCTCCAACAGCAGATACGGGCTGAGCACAGTCCATCAAATCGAAAGTCCACATCCTCTAGGCTTCCAGGCATCCCTCAACACCGGAGCTTCCGACACCGTAATGCAGGAGATGTCAGGGTACTAGTAGCAAGGCAGGGCTTGACGACTTCTGTCGCCTCCACTAGCATCTCTGTAACGTTCACATCGCCTTCTGGTAAACATTTAGAGTTAGGAGTGCGGCAAGCCAATTCAGATCTGTTCGATTGGTGCTGAAGTTTTATCGGTGACATGTTGAAGTCGCACATGTAAGGCCTCAAACTTATGACCTGCTACGCAAGAATTGCAACAACTTCACGGCCGGCTGCCCGGGAACATGAGATTTCTGGTTGCTGTCGTGCGGCTTGCTTCAATGCTCCGTACCGTGCAGGCTGCGCCTCGGTTTGGTCATGAGGGTTTGCAGTCTGTCGAAGGCTCTGGAAGCTGGATTGGCCAGGCAAAGACTGAGCATCATAAGTCGCCGGCCCTTACACCTGCCGTACCTTTGCGACTCTTCAGCTATGTTTTGAGCTGTCCTCTGCTGTTGCATTGTGTTCATCTTGTCAATGCTTGTGTTGAATCACTTTCTATACCGGGTGTAGAGTCTTTGCTGGGCTGGGTCAAAATGCGGTGTGCATGGCGCTTCGCGGGCCGCGGCGGGAGCGCGGACTGGCCAAGGCGGTGTGTAGAGACAACATTGCCTCCTGCATTCCAGAGGTGTAGGATAGGGTGGGCCTCTCTGGCTTCGAGGTTGCTTCTGCAAGGTGTCTCAAGCTGCGGGCAAGAGGCTCGCAGCAGGCTACACAAGCCGTAGCGCCGCAGCGTGTAGCAGTGTAGCACCGAGTGACTGAGTGTCTTTTCGTCGGTGCGATGGTCACCAGGCCCGAAGGTCCAGGCGGCCCAGCGGACACCGAGCCTTTCCTAAGCATTGCGAGCCGCTGTCAACCGCCTGGCATCGCCCATCTCACAGTTTTCTTTGAAGGCACGGCCAACACAATCGAGCCCCTCAGTACCCAGATCGGTCTCTTCTTCAACCTCACGGACGCTTTCGACGTCAGCGGTGGAACTCTGGGTGGAGCGCCCATCAGTCAGCCAAGAAAGATGGCATTTGATGGCTGTGGTGTTACAGACGGCTTCTGTGGCACCATTTGTGCCAAAGGCTTGCGGAGGCAGTGTGCTGCCGTGCGACGTCAAGTCGACAGCTTGGTGGCCGAACTCGCCTCCAGCTGCCAAACCCCTCCGGCTTTGCGGGTCAATGCTGTGGGCCTGTCTCGCGGAGGTGTTGCTTGCTTGTACCTAGCCCAAGCGCTGGCAGACCTGCATATGTCGACTTGCGAGCTTTCGTTGTTGTTGTTTGATCCTGTTCCTGGTGATTTGCTGACAGTTGCACAGCTCGACTTATTTCGGCTCTCGAATACTTCCGCGTGCTGTGATGTTTCCACATGCCAGTGCCTCGCACGTGTTTTAGCGTTGTACCCATACGAACCTTTGCCTGCAATCGCTTGCCATGCTCCAGTCCTATGCCACTATCCGGAGCACTGCCTGGTTGAGGAGGAAGTCACGCCTGGCTGTCATCAGGGGGCCTTGCAAGTGCACGGCTTGCAGGGGCCGCGCTTAGATTTTGACTCTGCACTCTCTTTTCTGCGCATACGCCGCTGGCTGATGGAGTGTGGGACGCCTCTAGATCAACGACACCTGGACTGCACAGTCTCGGTAAAGACGCTCGAGGATTTCTGCCTGCGGAAATGTAACCAGGAGGCGAGGCGTAACCGTGCCAGCGTCCGGTCCTCCCACAGTGCCCACAGCTATTGGGGAGCCACCATAGCTCGAAGACAGATATCAGCAGAGGAGGAGGCATACCTGAACCAGCACCACAAGCTGCTGTCGAATGCAGTCTCCCGCGAAGACAGCGAATGGATTTTGGAAATACAACGGGAGGTAACTCCCTTTCCCTCTGGGCTTCTTTGCTTGCTGGCTTTGCTTGGTCTGGCGATTGTGTTCCCATTCATGACTTCATGAGTTGGTTGAGCAACCAGAACGGTGGGCATTGACATTCTCTGTGAGTGTGGTGGTTGGCGGATGCGGCCGTGTACAGTACGACAGTTCCCCTCTGGTGTGGGGAAGGAAAATGTGGCAGTAGTCATTGCTGCGTTTGAATGCATGTGGACCACAGCTTCTGCCAGCAGCCAGCTGCTAGAATCCGCTAGAACTCTTGTGATCAGGAATCAGGAACGTTCATAGATTCTAGAGTGTGGAACGATGCACGGCTCCATGCACCTGAACTTCTGGCTTTGCTTGGCCGCTACTTGTTCTGTTTATGTTTATGTCTTAGGACTGTAGTAGCAGGTAGCTGTTTCTACAATTTTCGGCACATCTACCAGCAATTTCAGCAGCCCTTGCCATGAGAGGTGGCTGCACGGCATTCTCTAGCTAGCCTGCCGGCCTGCCGCAGGCCAAGAACCTGTGCTTCGAGCATGACCCACGACACGGCCAGACCTGTTCCGCCGGGGATGCGTGTTTTGAGCTGAGTTTGTACATGTCGAGTTGTCACAGCCCTCTCGCCCTTGCGCCGTTGCGCTTGCAGCTTAGGCCCGAAAGAGCATTTGGACACGTTCCAGGAGGACCGGGTGCTGTTGGCCGGAGTCAGGGCGTGGATGCTACCCAAGCCTTGATGGAGCTTGAAGCCCTATCGCTGTGTTTCACTTTCGAAGGCCTTCGAGAGTCGTGTGTGCAGAACGCCCACCAACTCGAGACGGTACACGTACGCTTGAAAGGTATGATGCGCCGCTGGAGCATTGCATTCTTCAACCCCTGCGAGTCAGATGTTCAGCCGCTATTCCCAGCAGGCTGTAAAGCTTGCTTGCGTGAGCCGCACACTCAAGCCTCCGTATAGCTTCGCAAATGTATTCTATGGTGTTACGATTTCCGGACGTATTATCAACTGCGTCCAAGCCCACATTAGGATGCACGATATCGCACGATCCCCAAAACTTCCAAAACCTCCCAACAAGCCTTCGAATAAGCATTCTCAAAAGCAAACATTGTAATGCTTCCTGCATGTTTTTGGAGATGCTTTTTGGGATACTTGACCCGAATGCTGTTGCCGAATTTCAAAAGCTGCTTTCGCGCGCTTGTTGGCATTGTTGCTGAATGCCGGTTGGAATGCATGTTGTCTTGCAATGCTTGCTGGAGATTTGTTGCACCGTTCGTGATGTTGTTTGCCGACTCCTGCCAAATGCTTCTTGTTGTATGGCTCTCTGTAGTACAGAACGCATGGGCCAGAGCGTAGTATACAGGATCAAGCATAGATGCGTGTGGCCAGAATCCGCTTGCTACCGGGAGGATCTGGCCGAGCGTTTGGACACGGCCAGAAGAGACTTGGCTGCATCTTGAGGACGTTGGTGCGGAGGATCTACCGGGACTTATTGTAAGGTGTGCTGTACTCAGCTCGACCGGCAGATTCTCATTAAATTCTTGAAAATCCCGACAAGCGGCCACCATGCCATGGTGCAGACGCCGCTCGACACTGTAATTCGCACGCTAGGTTTCGAGTACTAATAAGGAAAAGGATAGATTCATCTGTGTCACCGGTGTTGAGAATGCCTCGGGGTTTCTAAGGGCCGAGCCGGTTGCATGCAAACTCTTTCAGCTACCGTGTGTCCGCCCCAGAGTACTTCGGCAGCGCAGTGGACGACAGGAGCATGGGAGGAAGCACTTCTTCGACGCAGGCAGAAAGAAGAAGAGGCCGTTGTCATCGATCTGAACACTCAGCCTTTTTGCAGCGGAATAATCCATATTCGCACCACTCGCGGTGAGTCGTAGAGTTTGTGCGTTGGCGATCGAATCTGAATGAGTCGGAATTCCTGCTGAGAGTATCTCGTGCCAGGGCAGATCGAGTCTCCAACCTTCAACAGCACCCAGCTCAAGGCCGGCTTGCTGCATGAGCGACATGATCCAGTTCAGTCTCTGAGCTCGAGTAATCAATTCCGAAGAATCTTTGTGCCATTCGCTCGAGAAACTCCATAAACCGCTGTACAAAGCAGTCGTTCTACAATGTTCTGCAGCTGGAGGGCTTTTGCAAAAGGACTTAAGAGCAGGACCCTGGACCCCGCTAAAGGGCTCGCAAGCTTGCAGAGAGGAGGTCCGATTCCTGCTCGCTTGCCTTCCTGGGGCCATTAGGGCCCAGGTCTGAAGCTTGGGATCCGAGCCGATTCAAACCGGTTCACCGGAAGCTGACTGCAACGATACACAGCATTTTTCGCTTCGGACTTGATTTGGCAATTTGGTAATTGATGGGCCGCAGGACTTTGCGTGCATCTTGCCGCTTGACAGCAATTGTCTGTCCTCAAACGAGATGGCCCGCCTGTTGAGGAGTTCGCTGGCACACAATCTAAGCCCATGCTGAGAAGGGACTTGGGGCCGCTTGGGCACTGCCGTTCGTTCAGTTTTCTCTCGCATCACAAGGTACGCCGCACATTTGCGAGGACCTTCCGGTGCCACCAGGTATCTTTGAGGCTCGAGAGCAATGGCGTAGATCAGAGCACTGCCAGAACATGCCGCACAGCGTGTGTGTGTGTGTGTGTGTGTGTGTGTGTGTGAATCCCTGATATCAAAGGGCGCTTCTTGGTCAAAAAGCAGGGGGCCTGAGGCTCACAGACAGGGCTCAGGCCAACGAAGACGCCTGTCTGCTGAGTGTGATATGATCCTGGGACGCTGGGATCACGTACCTGCAAGTGATCATGGCAAGGGGCTAAGCCAAGAACCCCGACACGAATCCCGAAAATTCCTGAAGTAACGATCTAGCTACTCCCACCATGGAGTTTGCAAGTGTGTGTGTGTGTGTGTGTGATCTCGTGAGATGTAGAGCACGGACGAGGGCACGCAAGCTGGCAGCCACAGCTGGCGCAGCTCTCTTCTCCAGACTCCATGCCCAGGGTGCCAGATGCACTGACAAACAGAGGGACACGTGCGACACACGACGTAAGCCAGACAGCAGAAGCGACACCTGCTGCAGGTGCCATGGTACTACGATGAGAGGTGGTTCCGTCGGGCGACTGCTGCAAGGTTGCGGCTTGACAAGCAAGTTCAACCGATCAAATCCACAACCGGAGCCAGCCAAGACTTTCAGCATGCATTCGCCACGCTCCGATGATTGCTATACTGCTATACATGACCCTTTGACCTGAGGATCTCTTCAGCCAGCTTCTTGGCCTGCTCTGCTCTCTGGGCCTGCACGCCGCGGCTTCGGCGGTATCGGGAGATGCATCCTGACACGAGGCAGGCGGCAGGAACGGAGGAACCAAAGAGGTTTCAGAATTTTCGAACCGTTGACTGCCGCTACCAGTTGGATACAGATAAATACAGATCCGCTGTATTGAAACCTTCCGAGTTCAGGCCAGTCTTTGCATCCGACATGGGTGAGCGTGCCTCGTCCTGCATCATGGCATCAGAGAGCTTGGGCCGGCTGTGTGGCTTCAACGGTTGCAGCCCGCTGCCGCACTGCCTACCTGAAGAAACCCAAGGATTCGCAAGGATGCTAGCTTCCTTTCGAACGCCCGCTGTGCTCTGCGTGGAGAAGCCTTACCTGGAAGGCTTCGTCGATGGTTTCGTACCTGTGCAGAGCAATGCAGAACATTTTCGGGAGGTTGCTGGCACGAGTAGTTGGCATGCTCTTTGCAGGCTTGCCCACAGAGGGCGAGTTTCTGCAAGCAGTCGAATCCATTCGTCCCTGAAGGCCATCAATTTTCGTCTGCTTCCATCTTGGAATTCCTAGGCAAAGTCAGCTGCGGGAGATTTCGTTCTACTAGCCGACGCTTGGACTATCTTCCGACAATGTGCCTTTGGTTTGAAAGCTGCACTGTCTCCTCTGCGACAGCTTCCTTCAAGCGATTAGTGTCTCTAGTTATCTGGTATAAAACAGGAAGTCCTGGCTGCGTAAGACACGAATTACCAGTCACCATCAAAGGAACATGAAGGAACCCACTTTTCAATAGGCGTGCAGCGTGCAGCCAGCAGAGGTGAATGGTGGAGACGCGCCATTGTCCACCGATCTCCAGCGTCGCATCGGAGCACTGCCGGGCTTGAAGGCGCCGATGCCCGGGTGCTTCTGAGAAAGGTGCAGCTTCCCGGAGTGGCGGCCATGCACCATTTCTGAAAGACCCTCTTCTGCATCGTGGCTTTGACACCTGGGAGGCTTGTTTTGCGATGAATCTCCACAAACCTTCCGATGCGGCTCGTTTACTGCTTTATGGGGGCATTTTGTTTAGCCTCGCGGCTCAAAACTCTGAGTTTCCATTTGTGACTGTGAAATGCGTGCCAAGGGCCGCTTCTTTCCTCTTCCTGTCGGCCTGCCTCATCACTGCGATGGCCTCCATCGTGGAAGACTGCGAGGCTCAGGTGATGCCGAGTTGTTGCGCCTGGTCAGTCAAAGAGCAAACCTTCTTTCAACTTTAGGTGAGTCGTCCAATCGGGAAGTCCAAGAACAAAAAGCAGATGCAGAGTTTACGCGTCGGCCTGCTTTGAGGATTGAACGAGTCCGGCGCTGCGCGGCTGCCTGGGAAGCACGCGACCGGAGGCCTTGTCTTTGGGAGTCTTCTGGGCCCCAGCAATGTCAAACAGGGTCACCTGACCCGCCTTCATTATCCCAAATCGAACAGAAGAATTCATTCGATTGTTTGGCGGTCGCCAATTGGTGACAGCACGTCCACTTGTTCTGTGTTCTGTATCATGCCACGACTCATCGATGCATGGGAAGGAAAATGAAGGAAACATTCAATGCCTCAGTCTCTATACTGCTCACAAACAACTGCTACACAGCTCCCCACCTTGCCATCACTAGGCCTGCTGCAGAGACTTGTCTCATGCACCTTGCACTTCGCTTGAATTGCATCGGCGTATCCTTTTTGTAGCACTGCCAGGGGCACGGAGTCCTGAGCCTGAAATCCTAAGCGAGGTCTTGTTTTGTCAGAAGCTGCAGGGCTTGCTTATGCGACCCAATACATGCTGCGAGTCCGGTTCTTTTCGGGTCTTTCGGCATGTCTTGATGGCTTCCCGATGCTTCCTGGCAGGCTTCTGGTCACACCGATGCAGGTGTCGAAGCTGCACCAGACCAGGGTCAGTGTTGCATTGTCGAAGTGAAGGCAAGTACAGAGCAAGCAGACTCGCATTGCATCAACAAGTTCTAAGGCCAGCCGCCTGCGGACAAGATACATTGCGAGCAAGCTGCAAATGGACACTGATGCGGCAGTCTGCGCAGTCATACGGAGCTGAGCTGTGAGATACAGCCGCATGTTCCGGTAAGGAAGCCTTGACTCAGCCTGCAGTTTGGCCGCACGGCTCTTGGGGCGGCTTGCATTCTGTCAGTGCTGGCGTCAGCACGTGGCCTTTCAACACAACTGAAACACACGAGTGCAGCTCTAAGCTTGAGATCGCATGTCTTTCGCCCCCCCCATGCCAGACTCAGACAGCCGAGGAGTTCTCCCAGCTGGTTCATGTGGTGACGAGCCCGAGCCGGCACTTTGGCAGCAGAATGCAGCACAGCGTCTCTACCCCGTCAGTTTCAGCGGGTCTTCTGAGCCAAGGCTGGACTTCCCGGACTTCCTTTCTCTCTTGAGCCAACACCGAGCTGTTCTCTCCCCTCCAGGGCGAGGAGCGAGGGCTCAAGTAGCAGCGTTCCGGAAGAAGTCTGCGGGTCAGCAGCAGTCAGCAGCCTGTGTTCGTGCTAGTGGTGCCTGCTGGGCCCGGTGCCTAGGACACGACTGCTATCGCACATGGCAAGCGTTGGCGGCAACTCAGCTTCATCCGATTCTGAATGTCGTTGAAGTTGAAGTCCTAAGTCCTGTCGGTCTTTGCACGGCCGCAAGAACTCGTATTCCCGACTTGCGGTTGAGTTCTCTGCGACGGTAGATGCAGAAAGCTTGTTGGTACCATCCTGAGGTTGGGACTGTGCCGCTGGTCGTGCAGGATCCGCTCTTCGACGAGCGTTTGTACGAGAGCCGAGGCTACAGAAAGCTTGTGGCCGGAGCGGATACGGCGGTTGCCGCTGCATGTCTCGACAGTCTGCCAAGGATTGCCAAGCTGCCGCAACTTGGCATGCCTTGACTTTGGCTACATGGTGTTCCAGCACCGTTCAGTGCTTTGGATAACGTGGGGTACCTTCACGTTTGCCACAAGACCAGGACTTGTGCAGTGCAAATAAACGACGAGACAGCACCTAGACGTGAAACAAACCACATTGCAAGCGCTTGACAGCGCTCTGTTGATTGAAGAAACTCAGGGTGATTCCGTTTCCGGAGAACCTGACTCCAGATTCGCTGCAGGCTGGCTGGTTGAGCAAATCACGGGTTGTCTTAGTGCTGAAGCTTGCGAAATTCGAAGCTGGTTTGTGAGGCTTTTTTTTCCCGTGGCCAGTCCATGACGGCGCAGGCTTTGCTGGAGCGGCTTGTGAATCCAGATCCTTGGCAGCGCTGCGTGGAGACAACGTGACCCGATTCGACAAGGGTACTGGGCAACGGCACCAGACAGGCCTTGACAGATAAAGCGAAGACAGAGACACGCAGCCAGGCAGGCAGGCAGCAAACGGCGCCCCAAATGCACGTGACCAGAATTGAAGCCAAGAGCTAAACAAGCTTGGCCGCACAGTTGCTCATTGATCTTCGAAGTGCATAGCCGGCATAGCCACTGACAGTCCAGCTTGCAGGAGCCTGAAGGGTGAAGGCCGAGGTTGTTGCCAATTGTTTGTTGGGTTGAAGAGGACGAAGAGGTCGGTAGGACCCGCATACCAGCTGCTCAGGGGGCGTAATACTTTAGTGAGGGACATAAGGGTCTTGGCTGATCCGAAGAACGCTTGGCAGCCATGCGGGAGCCCAAAATGAGGGTCTTGGTACAACACATGTGTAACATTCGTGTGTCCTTGCGAGGTACTGGGCAGACATATGGCGACTCCACCTCCAAGATCAAAGCCAGGGCTGAGAGTTGCTGGATTCAGATTATGGACGGCCGTGGAAAAACAGTCGAAGTATCCGGTGGCTGGGCGCCAGCTGTCGGTTACAGGCATGCCGCTGGTCCTCAAACAACTTGACGGCGCGATTTCCTCGTAGGCCCAGGCTTGTCTATGCTTTTGGCTGTGGCGGATCAAATGCACAAAGGACACTGCACCCACATCTGCAATTGACTCCAGAATGTGGTTTTGAAAGCTGTAGCAGACAGCACAACGCGATCGTGCTGCCTTCTCACCTATATCGTTCAGCCTGGATAGACACAAGGCCGAGACTTTCATCGCTCCTCAGGAATCAAAAGTCATGCGGTTTCGAAAAAGCTTGGGCCGCTAGTCGCAGCGAAGGCAACTGCAAAACATGGTTGCAAGGCACAGAATTTTACCAAGCCGAGGGTCCTGCTTTGCTGATTTGCCGTAGAACTTCATGACCCTCTGACGGTTGGGTACGCAGAATTCCTTTCGCTTGCACTCCGGCGTACAATCCGTCAATGGCAATGCAAGAAACCGTCAGCTTCTCCATGCTTCTCCCAAGGACTGTGGGCTCTTGCTGCTCACGGGCCACCGGCTAGACGTCCCTCTGGCACACATATGCTTATCGGTTTTGGGAGTGTTGGTGCCTCATACACCTGCATCTTTCTCAAACCTTATGCGTTCTTGCTCACATGCCCGGCACCCGACCTTCAGTCCGCCTCGGAGAGACGGGCAGGGTGCTAAGGCTAAGGCATCGTGTCATCGCTGGGTACTTCCGCCTTTCTCCCTGTCAGTTCGGGCGTGTTTTGGACCATTGCATGCAGCCTACGTGTCTTCCCGTGTATAGTATAGTATAGTACGCAGACATGAATGTTGCATACATACGCACGTAACACACGCACATTACATACAGTACTTGTACTGTCTGCATTGCTTACATTACTTGCATTACTACTGGCTTGCTTATCGCTTACTTGCTTCCGTCATAAACACATACATCACGACCTTACCTACCTCCCTATCTACCTGCATGCCTACCTACATTCCTAAAGGCATGCATGCACATATGCGTGTGAATCCCTTTGTTGTTTCGCGCTCTCTCTCTCTCTCTCTCTCTCTGCACCACCTGGCCAACGAGGACTGGGAAATTGCTTTTTGCGGAACGCTGTGTTCACCCAATGATCAGGAGGGAGTTTTGCCGGCCAGGCCCACCTCCGCTTGGTGGAGGGGCTGGGCGGAGGCCTCAGGAGTGCCTCAGGCTGGCGCTGGTTGGGACTCAGGACCTTGTTTCCATTGACATATTTTGGGCACGCAACTTCATTCCTGTCTACCTCGTCTGTCACCGGGGACTAACGGGGAGAGCCTGTGTTGGCCGACTGATGAGCGTCAGGTACTTATCTGCGGTTCAAAGCTTGTCTGCGTGGGTATCCAAAGGGCGGCAGACTTGATACTTCTTTCGCGAGTGGGTTCTCCTGGTTCTTGCCCTTGGCAGTTGTAACCCGCGTTTCTCGGCCAGCATGTAACGTCGAGCTGCGATGCTTGCGCTTCAATTGTGGGGCGAGCTACGGTGGTGAACAAGCTAGTCAAGAAGATTCGTTGTAGTCTGTAGTGCAGCAGACAATGACGCGGCTTGAGCTCAGCAATGCAGAACGTAGTGACGTAGTGGATGTGGTAGTATATGTTTGCCGTGCACCTGTTTAGCTTCTGTTTGTCCTGCATGGGCGTTGATTCTAAACCAAGACCGGGCAGGTAAAACTTACATGCTGAGGCGTCGCTGCCGAGACATTGCATCTGGTCCAAATTTTAAGTGGTGCTGGTCTCAGACGATGCACGTATGCCAATTCATGACCCCCGTGCCTCGGGAACATCACTGTGGATCTGTAACTGCTGCTTCCATCTGCACAACCGGTCGTCGCTAGCTGCTGCAGTCAGGGCTAATAGCTCAGGTGGGCGATACGAACCAAACGACAAGGCCGGTGGAGAGGATGTTTGCGACCCCTCCTCTTTGCAAGTTTTACAGGTGGTGTGGCTGCGGGCCTTTCTTCTGTTAAGGGTATCTTTGCGTTAGCCTTGCCGTGTCACTTGCCAGTAGGCTGAGGATTACGACCATGATGAAACCATCGCGCGAGTCTCAGCCAGAAGTTTGCAAGAATTTGCAGTACTGCCCCCTGAAGCTCTGGCAGCAGGTCGATCTGCAGTGTTCCCATGTGCTCAAGTCTGGGGCTTTCGGGTGGCCCAAATTTCGCTGCAATCGTCGGATGAACAACGCAAAGCCGATACATCAAGGAAGGAGGGGCCATGCCCTCACAGTGACACAGCATACGAAATTTAGTTCCTTGAAGCATGCACCGAAAATGTTTGCTGTTCGATTGCAACGCGGCGAGCATGTCAGCAAGCTTGCAGAGTTGGGACAATATGAAAGAATGCAAGGCCGCCTTGCACGACCACCGGAAAAGCTTGGGCTTGGCTTGGGCCTCGGTAATCTTTCCTCTGACAGGCTGCTTCACATAGCCGTCGGATGTGGTCGCGAAGTGTTGCTCCAGCTTTGCAAGATGTCCTTGCCGATATCCCGGAGCCGCCGGAGCCATGAGCTGAACAGACGCCCTCCGGCGACGCAGACGCTTGGCTGCATGCTGGCCAGTCCATACACCTCCAGGAAGTTTCGTCCATTGCCCCAGTGGGCCCCCGATTGCAGGTGGCGATGTTGGCTTCTCTTTGCCCTGGGTCTTCGAAGCAGCACGTTCTGCAACACCTTGCAGCCTAGTGCCTTGGTTGGAAAACTGGCAGCGATTCTTCAGCCTGCCGTCTCAAGCCCTTTACGGTTCTGTGCTGGGAGGTTCGACCAGACTTCCGAGGAGGCAGGGCAACTGGATCGAGGTGTCCGAATCGGCCGCTTTGGAGGCAGCTGATAACGCCACAGTACTACCTGTCTTTCCGCTTTCTAGCATCTACTGGCCGGGCACGGAAGCGCGATTGAACATCATCGACCCTGCATACATCAAGATGTACGATGATATCTTGCTCTCTGGTTCACGCCGATTCGTCGTACCATATACTCGATCTCTGCCCGGCGGACGTGTGAGATATGCAGAGATGGCTCCAAAGGACCGGCGTCTCTTCCACATCGGCTCGCTGCTGTATCTCACAGATCTGCAAGAGGTGAGCAGCCAAACTGGCGACAGAGTAAAGTACGTCGTGAGCCACGAGGTCCAGGGGCGCGTCAAGCTGCTTCGCTTGCTGAATCCCTCTGCGTTGTTTGAAACCGACAGTGAGGGCAACAAGGTGAACTATCTCAAGGCCGTTAGTTACCGCACATTCCCCTCGCAGATGGCCATAACTCATTGTTTCGTTGCCTAATCCTCGAAGCGTCTTGAACCGTATAGCGGGTGCACTCGAAAGGGGCCTTCAAGCCTGCCAATGTTACCCCCAAAGCGATGGAAGCTGCTCGAGATCTTACCGGGCTTTGGGCAAAATGAGAGAACGTTCCAGTTAAAATCCGCACAGTGCAACTTTAGGGCATCAGTCCCTCAACTCTCGAATCCGTTACATGCCTGTTTCCCTCCAGCAGGGTTCTGGTTCCCTGGAAAGGCGGAAGTGGAGATGCTCTCTGAGCAACCGGAGGAGGAAATACCAGAAAATCCAGGGCCGAAAATGTGGAGGGAAAATCTGTTGTCATCATGGCGACAGCTGCACAACTTGTCCCAGCAATTCGAAGAGCCCCGTGTGGGCGAGGACTTCTTTGTGAAGATTGGGCCCAATGTGTCCACCTGGGTGTTGTCTGCTGCTTGGCAGGAGCTGCAGGTGGCCACGCAAGTGGACCGTGGCCAAAAGCGCGCCTTGCAGGACGTTGAGCAGTTTCTCAAGGCCATGAAGGAGAAAGACTCGAAGATCTCGGGCCAGGAAGCCCTCCAGCGAGTCCCACGCGGCCTGCTGCGAGCTCTGTCCGGCAACGTAGAGCTTTCCTCGGAGTTCTGGGAGCCCCTCCTGCAAATACTGGCGACTCAGGGCGCGGAGGAGAGAGGGCAACTCTTGTTAGAGCTCATACAGAACGAGCTCAAGCTTTCCAGCACACGCTTCTCTTTGAAACAGGCTTTGTCTGACCAGGAATAGACAATAGATGTGTTGACGGTGCTGCTCCGAAGAAGGACGTCGCCGAGCCATGCTTCAGCTTATCTTGAAATCTGATGTGTCCGGTGCAGTGGCTCAAAGAGGCCGCAGCCAGCAGCGAGCGGCGCGAAATGGCAAAGATGGAATCAACCCGTGAATTTAGACCCGATGGCCAGAGCTTTTTCGGGTATTGCTGTGCATCTTCGTTTCGCGACAAACCCAGTCAAAGTGGCAAGGCGATTGGAAGAACATGCAGGTGAGGTGCCGTCTTGAAAAGTCGTGTTGATCAGGAGGAGCCAGACGAGGCACCCAAGAAGTGCAGCCGTCTCAGTGCCCTCAGTCTGTGGCTGTCTGTCAAAGAGGTATCAGTCACACTGAATCTAACAATAAAACGTCTTTCGTTGTATTCTTTGGTTTGCAAAGGTGGTTTCCAAAGGTATGTAATCGAGCTGTTTTTTTTGATTGTTTTGCATAAGATGAAGGCCTGTGAAGCATGTCGACGTGTAGCGTGTAGCCGAGAAATCGAAGCTGCGGCACGAAAGGTGAAACAACATCTCAGCCATTATGCAGAATTGCTTGCGCTGTCACGCGATTTGCTTGTCCTTCTGCGGTCTTCGAGCAGGCTGCAACTGCACAGAAGTTGTACTATTCGTCCTAAGACTTCTAGCAGACATGCCGCTGAGGCAGAGTGAAGACGCTGCTCTCCTTTTGATGCCAGGGGGCTTACCTGAATAATTCATTGAGAACAATTCAAGCCAGCAGGCTCTTCAGTGAGTTCAAGGAGTCTTTTTGCTGCGAACTTCTGGCACTTACCGCTGCGAATGCGGGGTTGCAGCATTGAGGACACGAGACTTCCTTCGAGCATCACTGCAGAGCGCCGATTGTTTACATTAATTCGCTCAGATCGGCTTCGAGTTTTAGAGAACCCTGCATGAAAGATCGTGGCCAACGACCGGGCTGCTCGCATCAAGCAGTGACAAGGCTTCTGAGCATCTCGGGGGAACGTAGGCCGGCACACAGATTTTAGGAGCAGCTTGCTGAACGACTATAGCGTGAAAGGTTAAGGTCAAGTGCAGCCGAATTCTTGGCGAACGAATGAATGTCTGCATTGAACATCACCCCCGCATTTTGGCTGGCACATCATGGGCAGCGCATTGAATTTAATGTGATCCTTCAAACTTGGTATCCACATGCTCCTGCTCTCGATGGCCTTCCCGTCCTGACTTGAGCTCGTGGGGCAGGCGTAGCTGTAGAGCCCTGCTCTTTTCACGACGTTTGGGTAGTTACAAATGCCGTCGTACACTGTCGTCGTACACCCTCAGCCCAAGCCACATGACTCTTTACGGTACGAAAGGCACCCGGAATGGGTGGCTACTGTAACTGTGAAGGAGCTTGTCACAATGAAGATACCTAGACAAGCAAGCATGGCATCGCCATGGCTTGGTGGAGTCGAGGAGGTGCTGGGACGCTTCGGGAAGAACAGAATGTAAACTGTAAACTCGCCCACGCAGACAGCGTAGGTGTTCAATCCTGCCTTGGCTCAAGGGCTTAGGTCAACAGATGCAATGGAGCCTGTGCCGCGCGCTATAGGACTCGCTGTGCCTCAGGCCACAGTAACTCCTGCCTTCGGGTCATGTGTGGGCCCGGACGGCTCAAGGAAAAGACCCCATGGTAAGCTCTTCCAGAGGAGCTGCTTGAGCTTTACCGGGCTCGTAGCAGCAGCAGCGGCCCGACACGGACACAGCAAGGCACGATTCCGAGCTGTAAGCGAGGTGGAGCTTCCCTTAGACTCACTCACCGAAGTGGAGGGCAGCTATGCCAAAGATCTGCCACCCGAGAGGCTGCAGGAGGCCAAGCGAGTTTTTCCGGAGGTGAACCTACAGGCAGAGGGACTTCGCCTGATGAGCGAAGATCCACCGGTCCTCCTGTTGGAGGGTATCTTATCCGATGAAGAATGCACGGACTTTGTGGATTCCATGCGTGACAAGGATGGCAACTTCCCAGAAAGGCTTGGCCAGGCGAACATTGATGTCCCAGGCTGGCTCACGCCGCTGAGGACAGCATTTCGAGGTGTTCCCGTCCTGGACTGGCTCGGCAACCCCACAGTGCGTTGGACGTACAAGAGCCGATGCCTGCTGGATGTTTATCTGCAGAAGGTGCGTGACCGTTGTGGCCTCGATGTGAGCTATGGCCAGGCCAACATCAAGCACTATCGCAAGGAGCAGTGGCTGCCTGTGCACATCGACTACAATCGCGCAACGTTGATGACGTACCTGAACGATGTAGCCGACGGTGGCCATACCCTATTCCCGACCCTGGGGATAAAAGTAAAGCCCTCAAAAGGGAGTGCCCTAATCTGGCCAAACCAACCTCCCCTCAAACATGCAGGGGACCGTGTCATGCAGGGTGAGAAGTGGATCATTTTCTACAACTGGCCGGCCGCGGATAATTGGGAATACGATGACAATTTTGAGTTCAATGCGGACTGACCTTTGCAGCTTCCTGCTTCCATCAGCACAAAACAAGCTGGAGGGCGTGTTTGGTGTGGGTAGAATCCGGGATCTGAGGGGACTTTGTGGCGTGTGCTAGCTAGTCTACCAAAGCATATGCTTGTGCAGATTCAGCCCAGTAGTGTGCCGTAGCCTCTTTGTTTAGCAAACCCAAAGGCAGAACGCTGAAACTACATGTCAAGGTTCGTGCAGAGTAGCCTTGGCAGGCCACCAAGCAGAATTGGTAGCCGGCCTTGGCGGAGTGCTGCAGCGCATGCCGACATGAAAAGTAACGCGCTGTAATGTGCTGCACCATGCTGCCGCGATGTAGCTGACCTATGCTGCTACAGAGCCGAGACATCGAGACAGATCGGCGGATCACCGCAAACCTGCTCCGAGATGTCCACTCCTGCTTGCTGACCAGGACCTATATCATAGCTACGTATCCGCCGCAGCCATGTAAATCCGGGGCAGTTTAAAGTTTGCAGCTGACCCAAGTCGCCGGTGACACATGAATTTGCGGATCTAGAAAGAAGCTCTTCTTTAGACAGCAAGCAAGCTTGCACGATGCAGAGCATTTGCCACTGCAACACCCGCAAAGCAGAAGTCGTCAGACCATTGGTGGTAGGTCATGGTCGGCCTGGCGGAAGGGCATCTGCAGAATGCCTGCCTCACCGTCCCTTGGGATGGTCAAGAGGGGAGTGGTTTTTAAGGTTTGATTTCCGAAGGCTTTTTCGGCCTAGCGCCTGTGCAGCCAGCGTGAGCATAGGTGTTCAATGCTGCCTTGGCTCAAGGGCTTAGGTCAACAGATGCAATGGAGCCTGTGCCGCGCGCTATAGGACTCGCTGTGCCTCAGGCCACAGTAACTCCTGCCTTCGGGTCATGTGTGGGCCCGGACGGCTCAAGGAAAAGACCCCATGGTAAGCTCTTCCAGAGGAGCTGCTTGGGCTTTACCGGGCTCGTAGCAGCAGCAGCGGCCCGACACGGACACAGCAAGGCACGATTCCGAGCTGTAAGCGAGGTGGAGCTTCCCTTAGACTCACTCACCGAAGTGGAGGGCAGCTATGCCAAAGATCTGCCACCCGAGAGGCTGCAGGAGGCCAAGCGAGTTTTTCCGGAGGTGAACCTACAGGCAGAGGGACTTCGCCTGATGAGCGAAGATCCACCGGTCCTCCTGTTGGAGGGTATCTTATCCGATGAAGAATGCACGGACTTTGTGGATTCCATGCGTGACAAGGATGGCAACTTCCCAGAAAGGCTTGGCCAGGCGAACATTGATGTCCCAGGCTGGCTCACGCCGCTGAGGACAGCATTTCGAGGTGTTCCCGTCCTGGACTGGCTCGGCAACCCCACAGTGCGTTGGACGTACAAGAGCCGATGCCTGCTGGATGTTTATCTGCAGAAGGTGCGTGACCGTTGTGGCCTCGATGTGAGCTATGGCCAGGCCAACATCAAGCACTATCGCAAGGAGCAGTGGCTGCCTGTGCACATTGACTACAATCGCGCAACGTTGTTGACGTACCTGAACGATGTAGCCGACGGTGGCCATACCCTATTCCCAACCCTGGGGATAAAAGTAAAGCCCTCAAAAGGGAGTGCCCTGATTTGGCAAAATCAGCCTCCTCTCAAGCATGCGGCGGACCGTGTCATGCAGGGTGAGAAGTGGATCATTTTCTACAACTGGCCAGCCACAGATAACTGGGAGTATGATGACAATTTTGAGTTCAATGCTGACTGACATGTGCCCCATGTGCCATGTTCCTAGCTTGTTGGACTTTCGGCTCGGCAGAACAAAGACATGCCTGTCGCTTCGCTTACCTGCTCGTGCCACTCCTGGCATATTCCTCGAGACTGCCGTGCTAAAGCATGTGATGCAGGAAGCGTTACTAGCACCTGCTGAAGTTTGTGTTGTGAGACTTTGTATCTGGTAGCCATGCCTGAACCTGTAGCTTGCCCGAGGTACAGCGACGAGCTCCGCAGCCGCGCGGGTCTTGACGATGATGCACCAGGGACTAGTTTTCGAGTCCCCAAGATCGAAGGGAAGAAAAAAATCGAGAGAAACATCGGCACAAGACCCTCAGTTTCAAAGCTTCAGTTCAATCCACGGCTCCGTTCCTCCTTTCGTGCGTCGTGCCGATACGGATTCTGCGGTTTTGTTTGTGGCTGTGGTGCAAGCGGATGGGAATTCCATTCAGTTTCTCACAACTCCATGGGAAAAACACGGACCAAACGCGACCGCTTGATACCGACTGCTCGCCAGAAACACTCAGGCAGGTCCGCACTGACCGGCAACCAGTCGGAGAGGAAACATGGGAGTGATGGGCTTCTGCAGAAGTTACTGACAGGCCGTTCAAATTATCCTTGCTGCAGCCGAGCAGATATTCAGTGCCCACTCAGGGCTCCTGGCGTGTGCCCGTGCTCCTGGAGACCCGCCGGCCTTCCAGCACAGGCGGCCTTCAGCGTTGATCGTGGGTTACAAAGCACGAATAAAGCACGCTCACCGCCATTTTCTACGTCTCTATGCACTGACCATGCTTCACCTATCTTGGTATGGCCGCGCAAAGATCGCCCAGTTGTTGTGGCCCAACATAAACAGACATTCTACATGAATATACATGGATATTATTCATCATGTGTTTGTATATGTCAGATGTGCTCCATGCAGCCACTTAGTTGATTGCAGGTCGACAGGGCAACCACATTTCTCAGCACTCGGGCCCGTGGGTGTTTTTCCGATCTCGGACCAGCTTTTTTCGCACAGTTCTCGTCAATTGTTCCCCACACAGCAAAGCTTGACCAGCTGGGCAGTGAGCCTGTATTGATGCTGTACATTCGCTGATTTCGATTCCCTCGTCCGTTGCAGGTATGCTCGCGATGGCCCTATTGTCTGCAAAGTCAGTTTTTTCTTCTCGCATGGCTAGGACGATTGCAAAGACATTTGCAAGACAGCCCGCGCATCAAAGTGTTTGTAAAAGTGTAGACATGTCTTCAATTTTCGCGATTGCTGATGTGGGTTTCTCTTGCTGTATCTTCGAAGCTGCTGTGGCTCCAGCCACGCTGCCATTCGGTGGCGTGAAAATGCGGCTTCTGATGCCGTGACATCTGGCGATGGGCAGACCTACTCCATCGTCGATCGATGACCTGTTTCGCCAGACGCTTGCCGGAAGTTCTGCCCCTGATCTTCCTCCCTTCATTCTGCTGATAACCTTGCAGATGTTGAGACCTCGAAGCCGACACTGCAAACCTGAATCCCTACCGGGTCCAAAGTGGTTTACGGTTTTCACACCGTGACGATCTGGCTGATTGCCTAAAGTTGGAAGTCTTAGAAGCTGGGTTTCGTGTAATCCGACGAAATCTCGGCCTGTTCTTCATCCGAAGCGACACCACTTTCCCTTCGCTCACTAAGCATGCTCCAGAAATATTCGCCCCTGCGAAACCTCGCAAAAGGGAAGCAATCGCAGTCACAGTGGAAACTCTCAATTTGAACGGCCTGCCAAAGGAAGAGCTTGGTGGAAATCCATGGCATCCTGCAGAAGACTCGATCAGAGGCTCCCGGTCGAGGGTTGCAGTTTGCAAGGTTTCGAAATTCACAGAGTAAATAAAGGCTAATCCGGAGCTGCCTCTGTCTTTGAAGACCGAAGACCTTTCTGGCTGGTTCAGCACAAGGTGTGCTTGCTCAGTTGGCCCGCAGCCGCTGATGCGAGTATTGCTTGGCCGCAGCGCATGCAGTGTATGCGGTATCGGCATCGGCTCGGCATGTCCACATTGTAGAAACTAATGCAGGAAGGTCAGGACAGGCAAACTGATAACCTTGGCACCAGGTGGAAGCCAAGAAGTCAGAGCTGCGGGAGCTGGTTGGGGACCACTACCGCCACTCTGCGGAACCTCTAAGCAAGACTTCCAGGCCTAGCCGCCTAGCCAGTTGGGCAGTGGGGTGGCCGAAAGCCAGGTTCAGGTCCGAGCGCGGGGGTCGTCAGTCGTCACCTGCATTCCAAGGAAGCGTCCTGGAGTCCTCGGACCACATCCGCGCAATGTCAGAGTGTGTCTTGGTGCGGTCAGGCGGCCTGGGCCAGGAGTTGACATCAAAACATATTTTTCGCGAGTGTCCATCTTGCGAGATGCCCACAAAGACACAAAGCCTGCCTAAAGCAGTTGTGCGAGATCCTTTGCCTCGGCCCCGGGAGAGCTAGGTGCCTCCATGGTCGCGCAGAAGGCGGAGAAAGCCGATGAGCTGATTGCCACAATGTGTCCTGGAAAGAAGCTGAGGGAAGCGGATGGGTGATTCGAGGCGCAGGTTCCACAAGAGTCAACCAGCACTCCTCCAGAGCTTAGAGTCCCCTGTTCTAGCCCCCTCAAGACATGCAACGACATCTGGACTTAGTTATGCTACAGCATGCCACAGCCTTCTTCCTGAGTAGCGGTGAAAGGCAAAAGTAAGACTGAAACATCGCCGTTGCAAATGCTGACGGAACATCCCGAAATCCTCATCGCAAATGCTGCGACCACCACAGCAACATCAACCGAAGTCGGCAGACAGAAGTGTGACTAGCGACTAGGCATGAGATTGCTAACGCGGGTGCGCGGGATGTCTGCTTCTCTTCGGCTGCCTGTAGGCTCTGTTTCTCATACTAATTAGAAAATCTTAGAAGAGGATTTTGTGCCCCAAGCCTTGTCACTTTTGTTACTGTGCTCAAGCGCAGCAAAGATGAGGCGGGAGCTGGCGGCAAGTCCACCTGTAGAGGATGGGGAAGGCTGCGCTGGCTGGTTCGGGGTTTTCGGGTGTAGGAGTCTTGTCTTCGGAGTTTGGTACTGCGTTGGTGAATGGTTTCTGGTCTTCGGAGTTTGGGCGTGCTGCAGCGGCAAGCCCGAACGACACAACGACACGGGTAAAGAGACCAAACTTGTCATTCTGACGTGACTTGTGACTTACTCATTCCTTGTTCGTTCGATGTGAGTAGTTCGCTTTGTTGATGTCGGCTCGTTAGTTCGGTGTGTCAACTTCGTCGAAGTGCTGTTTCGGACTGATACTGTACAAAAGGCATAGAGGCGTGCATCGCTAGCCTCGTTGCCTGTCCGACCACACAAGTCGGGATGAAGCCCGAACGAACGATCTTTGCCGCAACCTGCGACAGTGCAGCTCCGAGCAACCCTATACGGCCTCAGACCCCAGTGCTGGGAGGCAAACATTAAAAAAACAGGTGATTGAGACCCGGCGAAATACGAGACCATGCAGGCCAAAGACAACTTTTGCAGATCCACCCTTCCTCAAATGTGGTTACCCGTCGTCATAAACTCAAGTCGTTCTGAAGAACGACAAGAAAGTACACGGCAGATTTCATTTCAACACAACTTCTCTTGCACTCTTACATCGGAATGTCTTTTGTCACACGTTCACGCACGTTGCCAATGCCAAGACATGTCCGCCTCACAAAGGCCCCTTCAAAGCCTCCTGTCCCGATAACGAAGTCAGGATTCATAAATAGGCTCTGTTTCTCGTTGCACACTCTGTGCGCCTTCGGCTACATGTCTTCAGGCTCTCCGGCCGCCGATGATTCGGCACCTCGGCAGAAGTGGCGGGTTTGTTGCAATCTCGCAGAACCGCTTGGCTGGCTTAGTTTGCTTGGTTGTGGGTTTTTGAACATGATCTGTGTACCCAGTGCGGCCACTGCTAAGATCGCAGGCGTGCAGTTGGGATCATGAGAAAGGGATGGCGGACGATGCAAGGTTGCACAGCTGTTTAGCTACTACTCTACGGAGTCTCGTCTAATCTCGAGCTGATCTTGAATTTAGACTCGTTAGCCGTTAGCCAGCTTGGAGTAGCAGTTGGTGAGAAAGCCGCTTGCTAGACGCCGGCTTGATTGTAGCAGGTGGAAGTGCTCCCAAGCATCTGCTATGGTACTGTTGTGCATACAGAACATGTTTTCCCATATTATGGGATCTGTGACATGTCACTGCACCATCTTAATGTACCCTAATCCATGGGAAAGGAACGACGGTCTGCGCTTGGAGCACTCAAGCACACCCCGTATGTGAGCCACGCAGCCATCAGGAATTTCTCCTTTGCGAAAGACTCGCAGAGCTTCTAGATTTGCCGGAGAGGGTGGCTCGTGCAGCATCTCGTTCATGCATGTGAGCGCAAGATCCCTCATGTATGTTAGAAGACCTGACTTTCACCGTGTTTCTACAGTGTCGGTGAAGATCAGGATCAACAAGGAGTGCAGTGAGGCTACCTTCCCTTTGTCTCTCGAATTGTACAGGTATTCGCATGGATACTAGTTACAACAACAACAACTAGGTAGTTGCAACTCAGAGTTCACTGAGGATGCATGTTTTTCTTCAGGCCGGGACGACGAAAACGAAGATGGACACTGCAACATGTCCCCGCACTTCCAGCGCAAGCCACGCCTCTCCAAGCTGATAAAGCTGTGACGGTGCAACATCTGCATGGAAGAGACGATGCAAAGGTCCGAGACTTGGTGGCCGACTTCAGCTTTGTTGAGGCTGCAAGAGTGGCATTGGTCGACGCACCATTTTTGCAGGCAGAGGCCTGCTGAGTAGGGTCGGGACAGTCTGCAGCTTCAGGGCCCAGTGTCTGGAGAAACTCTGACGGGAGGTTAAGGTTCGGGGTAAATGGTGGTTTGGCCTTGAACTCCGCGCGTTTGGAGCGCCAGGAGCGCTGCAGCCTCTTCATGATGTTGTTCCTTTAACAACAGTCACAATCGCGGGCCTTCTTGCTTGATTCTGTCACCAGGAACGTGAAGCCGTAGCCTCTGGAAGGCAAGAAGCCACCAGTTGAAGGCAGCATGAATGCAAAGGAAGCAAGCAACCGTAATAGCATGCTTCAAACCGCACTTGGCTCACTTGGAGCTGCCGTGGAAGGTTCTGACGTGCCTACTGGTTGGGACATCGGAAGGGTGATGGTGTAGTTGACTATCAAGTATCAATTCCAACACCAGCGTGGATAGCTCATAAGCACGAACACATCTGATCATGCAGAAAGCAGACTTTGCATGGAGAGGGTATCTGTCGTTTTCCAGCTCTGCAGGTGCAGCAGCTGTTGGATGCCTCGCCCTCCCCATTGCCTGGTTTCGACATCCATGGCCGGGGCGCAAGAAAGCCGGGAGGTTTATTTACGATCCGAGGTAGTGCTGTGTCGGCATGCTGCTTGATTTTGATGACCTTGTGCACCATGCTCGAGTGGAGCCCAAGTCCCAAGTCCTGCCGGGCATCTGAGATGGCACGACTTGACTTGAGGAAGTCTGGGGCATGGACGTTTGCAGTGTGTTGGAAGTGCTGCTACGACCGGAAACCGCACCCGACAAGAGCACATCTTCGTTTTACAACCAATCTGCGCCTCGTCTACGATTTTCTCTGTCCGGGACCATATAGCCTCAAGCGGTGTTGGACTCTCTCCGAGGCCTCATTGCGCAGCAGGCCGCCTTTTACCGCTCCCTGCCTCGACAGGCCCTTCATACTGTAATGCTGTAAGTGGCAAGGCTGACCACTTGCTTGACTATCAGACAACCCGTGCCAACCAAAAACCCTCAAGATTCCGGAAGATCGTATGGAAAATCGTGCTTACATGTTCGGAGAAGGACATGCATCTGTGGAGGTTTCCGAGTATCAACATCAAAAATCAGCACCCAGGGGGCTTACAGTGCTTGGGCATTCCGATTCCGCTTTTCAACGAGGTTTACGAAGATGTATGAAGGTCACTCTTGAATCTCAGGTTTTTCAGTGTCAAGGCCGAAAGCTGTTTCTGAGCTAGAAGTAGGATGGTGGCCATGATCGGCGGGTCAAGACCTGCGGAGTCTCTGTTGTCGAACGACTTACAGGTAGCAACTATCAGCGGAATCCTGAAGGAAGGTCCATTTTATCTTGTTTACCTGTTCACCTTCTCCGCAACGATGAGCCGAAACCACCCGCCGATGGAAGCCACTGGCGGATCCACCCAACTCGCCAAATCGGGCCACGAGGGTCCGGAATCCTCAAGCAGTTTGCAGTTTTGGTCGAATCGAGGCTTGGATGCCCGGAGGCCCAGGATTACTGCACTGTAGGTGCAAAGACCGAGAGGTGGCCTCCGGCTGTGTCGACGCCTTCGACGAGGCAGAGCTGACGCCAAGTGGCTCCGCTGAGGCTTTTGCGCGGCGCTCAGAGTGCAAACCTGTGCAAGCCGTGCTCCGTGGGCCAGTCCCCCTCAAGCACAGAGACGTGCCTGTGGAAACTGGAACCAATAAGGTCGCCCACCTCCTCTTGGATGATGCAGCCCAGCACGACGAGCCTCTCGGAGCTGGGGTTTTGTGGAATTGGCTTGTCACATGCATAATGGTGAAGCCGCTCGGTCGGTTTCAGCAAGCTGTGACCATGCTTTGGCGCCCGGGTATTCGTGCATTTGGAAGGAGCCTTGGAGAAAGGGATACGGTATCTAATCTACGGCTAGGCAGAGCCGGCTTTCTTCGCGCATTGGAGTTTTCGGCTGCAAGCACTGGCCTCGAACGATTCCACGCTAGCTAGACAATCCGCCATGCAAACTTCCGACGACGTGGAAAAGGCCACCGTCTTCGCTGCCGGTGCCGTCATTCAGATGCTGCTGTGTTTAAGACTTTTGTACTTTGGCATCGGCCACAGGAGAGTCATAGTCGCAGGCATTCTGCTCTGGCTGCGCAGCTGGACAGTGAAGGGCCCTGTGTCTGATGTGAAATGTTCCCAGGAGAGGGTAGTAGCAGAAAGGCTTCGTCAAGCGCGGTTGAGGATGGGAAGGATCTATTTGCACACCATCACCGTCGCTTTGGTTTTCGCCCTTGTATCGATACAGACAAATATTGTGTTGGACAGACCGCGCTGGATGCCTGCGGTTACGACCTGGACACTTATTGGCTCGACTGGTCTTGTTGCTTTGCCTTGCGTGTTGCCCGGGATCCTCAACGCCAGCACCCTCGACGGCTTCCTGGTGGTGCTTCAAGGGTCAATGACTGTGATTGCATCGCCCCTGGGTTCCAATCTGCCTCAGGGAGTGTTCGTATCTCTTGCGTGTTTGGCTCTGGTTCGAATACCAGCGGCATGTTTTGCGACACATATTGCTCTACCAATAGCCTGCTGCTTGGCACACTCCGGAATGATGATGCTGCGTGGCATGGTGGAGCTGACCTCGGCAAACGACGATGGCAACTCCAAAGCCATGGCGTATGGGGCTATATGGGGGGAGCTTTTCAGCTGCATCACCATGGTAGGTGCAGCATTTCTGGTGCAGGCCGGGCGCGGTGAGCAAATCAGTCCAAATCCAAGGGAGACGCATTGCTTGGATGCAGGTTGTAGCTGATTTGCTTCACTGCACTTTGACGAGATAAGTGTGTTGTAGCTTCGTGGAAGGTAGTCAGAGTGAGACAGCCTGAGACAGCAGTGAGCCTAGACACTGAACGGCTAGGCTTCCTTGAAGACGACTGTACGGCGTGGACTGCAGCATGGCGATGCAGCGACGGAGCTTTGCGCAGCAACATCTTTACTGCGACTCACTTGCGATGCAGTCCTGGAGCTGGATGAGGCGATAGCCAGCCATGTAGAGCTTGACAGATCCAAGTACCGAGACTGTTGCTGACTTGGGTTCAGTTCGCCTGCGCAGGATGCAGTAGGCAGTGCATGTTTGTTTATCCACTCCGACCATGCCGATCATGATGTAGCACGTGTAGGCCGAGGCCAAGGCCAATTCAAGCAGCTGGCTCTTCGACCCTGTCTAACTCACAATTGCCTATATCATGACAGTTTGCGAAACCTCGCTGACCGCTGAACCTATCGAACAGCGGTTTTCGCACTCCTGTGATGACAAGACTAGCTTACATCCAGTTTCTACCGACCAGTCAAAGCACTACGCACCGAGACCTCGTCTGGCTTGTCCGAGTTGCGAGAGCGTAGTGACAAGACTAGATTGTGCACGCATGCGCACAAACACACAGCCAACCAAACACAAGCACCCACACAAACGCGAGCACAAACACAGACACACAGACACACACAGACACACACACACACACACAGACACACAGACACAGACACACACACACACACAGACACACACACACACAGACACACACACAGACACAGACACAGACACAGACACAGACACAGACACAGACACAGACACAGACACAGACAGACAGACACAGACACAGACACAGACAGACAGACACAGACACAGACACAGACACAGACACAGACACAGACACAGACACAGACACAGACACAGACACAGACACAGACACAGACACAGACACAGACACAGACACAGACACAGACACACACACACACACACACACACACACACACACACAGACACACACACACACACACAGACACACACACACACACACACACACACACACCACACACACCACACCACACACACACACACACACACACACACACACACACACACACACACACACACACACACACACACACACACACACACACACACACACACACACACACACACACACACACACACACACACACACACACACACACACACACACACACACACACACACACACACACACACACACACACACACACACACACACACACACACACACACACACACACACACACACACACACACACACACACACACACACACACACACACACACACACACACACACACACACACACACACACACACACACACACAGACACACACACACAGACACACACACACACACACAGACACACACACACACAGACACACACACACACACAGACACACACACAGACACACACACACACACACAGACACACACACACACACACACACACACACACACACACACACACAGACACACACACACACACTTACTTAGACATCCATCGCGCAGCCACTAATCAATTTGGTTATCAAGCACAGCTTGATGTATCTCGAAAGCATGAAGCTTCCAGGGGGTCCGGTACCAATCTGGCCTCAAGGCTCATCTTCGCTTGATCTCAGACTTATTCACTGTACAAGGCAAACTCCTCCAAACCTGCACATTCGATTTCCATTGGGGTTCTAGGCTTAGCCCCAAGCCATATCACTTGCAGAGACACTTGCAGACACACTTGCAGGTACACCAAGCTGATCAGGCTTGGCTTCCCTCTCTGATGCATAGCTTCGTTGGGTACGGTAGCATCAGAGAGCCGTACCCCCCTGCTATTTTCAGCAATTCAGCACTACTGTCCAATGTGTTTCAAAAACGGTTCCTCTTGGTAACAGAGGTCCACACACACAGTAAGCCACTAAGGCGAAGCAACCTAGGGTCTGGACTCCAAACGAGGACGGTTTTCGTCCGAATATGGCTCAGCCCAGTGAAAGGTCAATGGTACTGTATTGTTGACAGTACTGAGTTTGACAAAGTACGGTAAATGAGCCCCGCTTTGCGTAAGTTTAAACGTACGCTTGGGGATGCGATTCCACTCCAAACTGATCATCTCTTTAAGGTCGTCGATAATGCCTTCGGCCGGAATGTCGAAACATGCAACCGTGGCACCATGATGGCGGCCACCAGAAGGCAGATTTTCAATCCAGAATCCTCGGGTCATCCGCAGCGGAGGCAGATGTTTCGGTGTCCGAGGGAGAATAAGTGGATCATCATCTTTTTCGCCATCAGGTGGAAGCGACGCTTGTGCAGCATCTCGTTTCATGGCTGGGTCGCTGTTGCGTGGGAGCAGGAAAACTGTACAGGCGAGTGCTCTCACTGTATGCAGGACAGAAAAATGTGAGTCAGGTCACAAGGTCATGCCAAGAATCTCTGGTAGTTTTTCCAGCAAGTGACATGTAATCCTGTACACGTCCGGTGTCCAAATCAAAAGAAGAATCAAACGTTTCGGTTGGGACACTGTGCAACATACCAAAAATGGCAAGCACAACGGAGGTTAGCTCTGACCAGCATTTTTGCACAAGCCTTTGACCGTGCTGCAGGATTTCGGTGAAACTGCATCGGATCCCCAAGCGTGATATCACTCGCTTCAGAGGGAACAGGCGAACGCTCACGTTTGTCCTTCTTAGACTTCATGGACTTCGGAGACTTATTTGGTGACCGGTCCTTTTTCAGCCTTTTGGACTTCTTGGACTTCTTGGTCTTCTTGCACTTGTTGGAGGACTTCTTAACCCAAGACACCACCTCTGTGGGTGCCGAGTCTTTGGGAGGATCGAAAGCTGAAGACCAGGAGCTAGCATCATCAGGAAGTTCATCATATGGTACGGTACCCCGTTGTCTTGACGGGAAGCCATGCCGGTGTGTCGAGAAATCAAGACGGAAACGGCTGGCGGCACCACATGAGTAAAAAAGGAAAAAACGCCTTCGGCTTCACGAGAGACAGAGAGAGAGAGGGGAGAGAGAAAGGGCGAAAGAGACATAAAACCGAGCGTAACGCTCCTACGCGCTGTTTTGCAATGCGCAAAGACGGTTCCACTTCAGTGGTGCAGGCGCTCTAATCCAGTAATGATGAAAGTCCCAAAAATGTCAATTGGGAAAACGAATTAAGCAGACAAGTCGTCTGCTGTTCCAGCATGACAAAAGCTCTCACGGTGATGCATCTCGCTTGCGTTTTCGGGGTGACAAAGAATTAGCGCTCTCAGTAGGGAGGTTCAAGTCCACCGAAGAAGTGGTCTGAGAAGCTTGGTGCCACTGATTGTCAGCAGCCAAACGATCCGAAATCCAGCGAGAGGTGGCGGGAAACCAAGATTTCCACCACGTTTCATTGCCATTGGGTCCTTGATTTTTCACCCAATAAAATCGCCACGAAACAGTCGGAGAACGCGATCGGGATCGATCCGACATGGCGTGTACCGCTGAAAGCCGAACGCTGGAACTGAACAACGCAATTTAAAGAACCTAAGCGGACACATTGCATGCAAGACTCTTCTGCATATACATTCTGTATTGCAACAGTCTTTTTTCATGCATGAAAGACTCCATGTATCTTAAGCCTCTCTCTGTACATCGGAGACCGGTAAAGCTTCGGTGCTTCGTACAGAGTACTCCAAGCCAGGCCAGCTGACTCCCCAATCCTGCCCTTCCCCCGTTTCAAAAGTAATCGGCCGGGGATTGTTGGGGGTGGACATCGGCAACGTAACGGAATGGGTGCTTGACAAAATCCAAATTTTGTCAATGCGTCCTGCGGCTTCACGCACCGCCCAGCGCTTATCTCCTGAAGGGGAGTGTACAAGCGGGTGGAACTTGCACAAATGTCCTTCATGTACAGTGCTGGAGGACTTGGATTTGTGATGCGCAGATCCAAGATATCCTCCCACGACCACTCCTGCAAAATTCTTCGTGGAGTGGTGCAGTTTTGACACGAAGTCTAACTTGCTCTCTTCATAGTACACGTGTTGTGTGGCTTTGCCATAAAAGGAGCACACATGATCGTGCGGCGCCACATGTACAGCTTCGGCGCTAGAGCGAATGACCCTGCCCAACGTGAGGATGCCGACCAGGCCTTCGGCCGTGGTCCCGTGTCCCCAAAGATAATAGCAGTTGGTCTGCTCTTCAGGTCCTGGCATATGTGCCACTGGAAACTCCCAAACATGCAATGCTTCTTGGGGCATGGCATACGCCTTGGCATCATGCTGAAAAATTGTCTTATATGGTATCTTGCTGGCCAAAATGGACCGGGCAAGAGTGACAATCTCCCGTTGGCCAATAGGAATCACAGGCAGAAAAGGTCGGTCTGCCTGGTCAAATCGGGTCAACAAAAATTTCAGCACATCCTCAACATCCTCTTTGAGGATTTTTGAGACTGGCAATGAACGTTGCCGAGTAAAAGTGATGCGATCAGTGAATCGTCGCATATGAGAATGTGGGATAATAGGCCACGTATGCAAGCCTTCGGTTGTGAGAAAGTTCTCATGATAATGCAAAACAAAGAACATATACGCCAAGAGAGAACTCATTCCCTCCTCATAGAAATCGACAGCATTGCGGCCTTTGGCTCGAGCTGTGATCTGCTCTCGCAGTTGTTCATAGCTGCTGCGATGAGCAGCATGAAATAGCTGTTCCTCATCAACAGAAATCAAACCGGATTGAGCAGGAGGAACTGGGCTCTTTGGAGCCGAATTCTTGGGAGGTGTCTTGGGCGCCGTGTTCTTGTGAAACTCCGGTGAGGGAGCTGCCGCAACAGGCTCCTTGTTATTCAAAATCGGGCCTGTCTCCGGTTTGCTTTGTGCATTGCCGGGAGCTCCAAAAGCTTGAGCAGCCCGATGTAATGTATCAGTAGCTGCTTGAGAATGTGAAGCAGGAGCTCGAACTCTGGGTGTTACTGGCCTTTGGCTCAGAGTCCCAGCAGGAACAGTAGGTACCCATTGCCCCGGCGGTCGCTGTGGACTGTTGCTGGGCCCTTTGTTTTCATGAGGCCGGGAACGGACAGAAGCCGGCTCAATAGATCTCGGTCTAGGCCGGGGTGGCATGTTTTCTAAGCTGGCAGAACGAAAAGGTGGGCGCATCGGAGGAACTGCACTGACCGACCTTGTTGGTGGTCGAGTGGGAGGCTGAGGGGGAGGCAGAACTGGTCGAACTGGGGCCGCGGGAGGTCCCTCAGGTTGACGTTCATGCCGATGGTGTCGACGCCGTCGTCGTCTCGAGCGACTGCGATCATGACGCTCACGGCTGGGGTGAGTAGACCTGGCCGGCTCACCCGGTGTGAGTTGAATTGGAAGCGGAGCTCGAGGTGGTGGGTGTACCGAAACCGACCGAGCTCTGCTAGCTTCCTGAGGAGTCGAAAGAATTGTAACCGGAGGTTGTGGTCCGCTTGAAGTCTGCACTCCAGGGGGTCCTCCGTAGAAGTGAAAATGGTATTGCTGGGCCATGGCTCGGGGTTGAAATATTCCTTCAACAGGCCGATACCCAGCTGAAAACCAATGTAGCTATGGTACTGAATCAGTAGCTCACGTGCACAATTAGGAACAACAACATTGCAAAGAGGCAGCGAAACTCTCAATCGAATGGCTTGTTTGTTGACTTCATTGCAACGCATTCACAGGAAAACCTGCCTGTACATACAGTTGCTTGAGTCTGCGAAGTTGTCCCGGTCTTGACTCGGGGGGCCAGGAATACTGGCGAATCAAAGATGCTCGAGAAAAGTATCCCGAGGCTGCCAGCTGCCACGATCCAGCGCTGTTGGGCGAGCGGATCTGCCACGGTTGCTCCGGGAGATTAAAAGTTGCTGAGCGAGTCTTGGCACAAATGGTAAAACCCAACCATTGATGGTCTGACACAGTTTCCAACTGAATCCCATCATAAAAGTTGGGATCGCAGAATCTCCGGAGTTGGGACGACAGTAGAATTTTCTGAGGTCCCAGAATCAGTCTGTTATCGACGTAACGGAGAAACAAGAAAGACGATTGGATGGCTGTCGGCAAAGATTGCAAAAACTGCCGCTCGGCCAGGAGTACAGGAAGTCCGGAGAGGATCGGCGAGATTTGATTGCCTATACACGTCCCCTCCACTTGCTGCCTGCACTTTCCAGCAGCTGTAAAAACTCCCGTGGCGAAGGATAGATCCACAATCAGCGGAACATCAGAAACCCAACACCTCTTCAAGTTTGATTTTGTTCGCCCCCGAGGTTTGCCCGGGTGTCCCGTTTTTGACAACATATCGATCGAAAGGATCGAACAGCCAGAAGTTTGGCAGTATTCCTGGACAATCAAATGCACTGCGTGCATGATGTCTTTTCGGGGAACTGCATTGAAAAATCCCACGAGATCGTCGTTCCATTCGACGTCTTCCTCTTGACTGGGCTTCGCCCAATAAGCATGAAGAGACTTCCAGAGCTGTGGCATGCTCTGCATGCCTGGGCTGTCAGCAAACAGCGTCTTGACCATTAAGGTTAACGCAATGGAAGTCAGCTCCAACAGCTTGCTGCACAACGAATTGGAATACGAGATGATGGTCCGTCCCTTGGCAAACTGTTTTTTCCGTTTCAGGAACACAGTGCCCTGGGGCAGCGGAGCTGTTTCTTTGTGAAGGCCCAGGCGTATCTTCTGGACAGATCTCGAGGAACGCGCTTTAAAATGCGCTGTCTCCATTCTTCAGGGGTACCATCAAGAGTACGAAACACAGACGGATCGTTCCATGTGGTGCTAACTCCTCGAAGGAAGAAGCGAGGACAATAGCACACGACATGATTCGGATGATGATCTTCGTTGTACAGAACAAAATCCGAGTGCAAGGCAGACTTCACCTTCTGTACCAAAGCCCAGTGTAGTCTGTCTGATTGTTCCAGGGCTGCAACGTGTTGCTGCCACTGGTGATCACAAAAGGATTGAAAAATTGGATGCAACGTGGCTGGTAGCTTGTGTCTTTTGAGCCACTGATCAAACAGAGCTCTGGACTTGGCCATCCAGTGATTGCGGCCTGGGAAAAAGGTGCTCGCGGCACTGGCCGATAAGATGCTCGAACAGCCTGGTAGTAGCTTGGTCAGGTTCTCCAAACCTGTGGCTACGTGGCCAGACACGAAGCAATGAGCAGGAAGTTTTCCTGCAAACTGCTCACACGGACAGTGCACCGACTCCAAATCAAAGTCGTGCTCCCACATCGTTTCTTCCCAAGATCGGAAGTTGTGGAGAAATTTCTTGATACTCTGGTGCGGAACTTCACGTAGGCTGTTCTTTGGAACATGAAAAGATGGAAAAAGATACTTGTACCGGAGGATGAGGTCTTTTAACCACTTCTCGCACTCCTTGGAAAACGAAGGAGACGCAGTTGGCAGGACTCCCAAAGGTCGGGAAGTCCGTGGCCAGTGCATCTTCTTGCGAAACTTGACTACACCTTTGAGTATTCCTTGCACCCTGTTGCGATGAGGGTTTTCGATATTGCGACTGAGCTTGAGGAGGGCATACACTTCCTCGTCAGCCGTCTTATTGGATCGGAGCAGCTTCGCTGTTTCAAAGGATGCTCGGGTTCTCGATGCCAACTTGAACAGCAGCCCCCAGGCTAACTCCCGAGAAGCATGAATGAAGAATTTCGAACTGCGACCAAACATGCGCTTTCGCAGTTTGCGCCAGAGTCGGAGTCCAAAGGTACAATACAATGACCCTCTGCGTTTGGACGAAAGCCGGAAACCAAGAGCGGTCTTCTTAATGAGAGACATTGCTCTGGGATAATTCAAAGGTGCCTGCCATTGAGCAATGAGTTCGTGCTCAACAGTCCAAGCTCGCTGGTAACTGTCACAAAATTCCAGCGGAACAAGCACAAACTGGAAAAGGTTGTGTTGGGATGCCCAATATCTCAGGGACAATTCTGCATCCACAAATTCAGTTCTTTGAAGTCTTCTGTAGACTGCCATGCGGTTCAAATGCCGCTTGGCTGCACCGACAGCAGTGCTTCCCACATACAGAAGTGATGAGGGCTGACGGTAGCCCGAACGAAATCGACCCATGTCGAAATCAACTTGAAAAATGCAATATACAGTGTTCGGCTTCTCAAACAGAGAATAGTGCAGAGTATCTGGATCCACTCCGAACTGCTGCAATCTCCGAACAATCTTGAATCTGTGCGAATCATTTTGGCTGGGTGCATTGAGGTAAAACAACAACACCAACGACATCAATGTATGCACCCAAATCAGCGGAGCCTTGGGTATTCCATCGCCAAACTCCAACATGAAGGCTGCTGCTGTACCAAGCGTGCACACTGCTGAAGCAAGCCTCTTACGGACCTGAATCGGCTGGTGTTGCACCGTTTTTGCTTGGGTAGCTAGTCAAGCTGATTCAAACTGACATGCACCAATGAACGAAGACAAATTGGTGAATGACATCTTGCCGGCATGGCTTTTCTTCAAGCCGTACTTGATAGCAAGATCTGCCAGGCTTTGTCGATCAGTAGCTGAATCTTTCAGCACAGAGCAAACATCAGCCACATGTTTCTTAAAAGCTGCAGCTTGACCACGAAACTGGCTCTGATGCTTCTTGAGCCATTTCTCAACGACATCAGGAGAGCTGGAACTCGGAACAGAGTTCGGCGGATTCTGGAGTTCCGCATTCAAAATCTGCTCAGCTGACGGTGATGGTGAAGCGGTGGGCTTTGGGCCAGTTTTGGCCTGCTTCTTCTCTGGAGTAAGAGCAATCCCAGCTTCCTTCAACTTTCGCTTCGCACGAGCAAGCTGTTCACTCTCAGGCGATGGCTGGTTTGAATCCGCCGAAGGGGGCGAGTTGGCTTTGATTGTTGAAACAATCTCGCCGAGCAATGGTTGCATAAATCTCGCAGACTCCCTGTGCTTATCAGGCGGAGCTGGGCCGTGCATATTTGCAGCCACGGCATCAAGATCGATACGGTCTTGCCGGATGTGACGAAGCAGGTTAGTCACAAACACTGCTTCTGAAATCGACCTCACGAACACTAAGCTTTGAAATTCTCCATTGGACAAACAGCGGAGACTGAAGTCATCAAGACCTTTTCTCGTCAGGTCTGAAACACGAAGATCGGCGACATCTTTTCCAGCCAGTCCAGCTTTCGTAGACCAGGGCGTGGATTGGATGTTACGAAAGAACTTCTTGCCAGAAATAGCATTCTTGTCGTAACACTCCCAGTCACTGGTAAAAGACGATGGGATGGCAACATTGGCGCTGGGAACAGACTGTTGAGGAGATTTTTGCCAGTCACGGTTGTTCCAACCCGACGATCCTTTCTTCTCCCAAGACGAACTAGCCCAGGACGACTTGGCCCAATCTTGTTCACGGGTCCACGACATGATCGCAAGAGATTGCTAAAGGCTTGTGTCTCGGAGCTGAAATCGTGGTCTGCGGATAGAAAAGCCGTTGGTTCCATCGGATCTGCAAAAATTCAGGACCTGCAATGAAACCTGGCATCAAACCTGACATTAAGTCAGGAGCGGAGAAAACATCACGACTGAGGTAATCAGATGTCTGCACCATCGGAGCAGCAAATTCAGTCGAATCTGTGAGGACCACGACGGGCCCAAAACAATGTATCCCTGCCTTTATCAGATCCACCCTGGCAGGTACTCGCACGGGCTAACCCCGCCGCAGGTAGCGCGGTAAACGAATACAAGACCAGCTTGTAACTACCTGGGACACACTTAGACATCCATCGCGCAGCCACTAATCAATTTGGTTATCAAGCACAGCTTGATGTATCTCGAAAGCATGAAGCTTCCAGGGGGGTCCGGTACCAATCTGGCCTCAAGGCTCATCTTCGCTTGATCTCAGACTTATTCACTGTACAAGGCAAACTCCTCCAAACCTGCACATTCGATTTCCATTGGGGTTCTAGGCTTAGCCCCAAGCCATATCACTTGCAGAGACACTTGCAGACACACTTGCAGGTACACCAAGCTGATCAGGCTTGGCTTCCCTCTCTGATGCATAGCTTCGTTGGGTACGGTAGCATCAGAGAGCCGTACCCCCCTGCTATTTTCAGCAATTCAGCACTACTGTCCAATGTGTTTCAAAAACGGTTCCTCTTGGTAACAGAGGTCCACACACACACACAGACACACACACACAGACACAGACACACACACACACACACACACACAGACACACACACACACACACACTCACAGACACACACACACACACACACACAGACACACACTCACACACACACACACACTCACACTCACACTCACACTCTCACACTCTCACACTCTCACACTCTCACACTCTCACACTCTCACACTCTCACACTCTCACACTCTCACACTCTCACACTCACACTCACACACACTCACACTCACACTCACTCACACTCACACTGACACACTCACACACTCTCACACTCACACACTCTCACACTCTCACACCCTCACACACTCACACACTCACACAGTCACACACTCACACACGAACACACTCACACTCACACTCACACTCGCTCTCACACTCTCTCACACTCTCCCACACTCTCCCACACTCACCCACACTCTCCCACACTCTCCCACACTCTCCCACACTCTCCCACACTCTCCCACACTCTCCCACACCCACCCACACCCACCCACACCCACCCACACCCACACCCACCCACACCCACCCACACCCACCCACACCCACCCACACCCACCCACACCCACCTACACCCACCTACACCCACCCACACCCACGCACCCGCACCCGCACCCGCACCCACACCCGCACCCACACACACACTCACACACACACACACACACACACACACACACACACACACACACACACACACACACACACACACACACACACACACACACACACACACACACACACACACACACACACACACACACACACACACACACACTCACACCCACACACACACACACACCCACACACACACACACACACACACACACACACACACACACACACACACACACACACACACACACACACACACACACACACACACACACACACACACACACACACACACACACACACACACACACACATACATCCACCCCCGTCCGGGTGGAAAGAGTTACTTCGGACCTGTTTATGGCCTGGCAAGTACATGTTGCACCAACTGCAAAAGGAATCAGATTTAAGATACTGCAATCAGGCTGATTGAAAACGGTGCGCATCGGTTTCCTGACCGAAGCTTTCGGACTGACCTGTGTTTGAACCGAGGCGGTTGATGCATCTCCGTCCTTGGCACATCCATCTGTGGATTTTTGTCTCGTCTTACGGTCGAACGGAGACAAGACTCAGTCTGGTTCGAAAAAGGTAGCCTCAGAATCAGATGTCCTTGTCGAAAGCGGTCTGTCTTCAAACTCACTGGAGAGATCTGCCGAACCTGGAATTGAAGTCTCATCTGCATCAGAGCTGGTCAACTCCATGTTGTTTATATGTCTAGCTGCAGTTGGAACTGAAGTTCAAGCAGACCTGTCAGCTATTCAAAGACAGGACAGAGAGTGAAGGAGACAACCGCAGAGTGCAACGCATCGCTTCAACTGCCTCATGGACTGCCAGTTCGCATTGATGTTCCGACGTCCTCAAGAAGTCGCAAACTGTAGTGTTACAAGGTCTCGCGATCTACCAGAGATGAACTTGCCACACGCATGCGACGTTCTCTGGAATGTCGCTATCCCTGTGATCTGGGGCGGTGCGGACGAAGTGCACTGGATCCAATGTCGTCAGCGATGGAATCGGTTCTGTGAATGGTATGTGTCTGCCATTTTGGTGTAAATTGAAAGCACCTCAGCTGAAGCCTGCGGCCGGTGATTTCTTCGATTCTATTTTGGAGGTTCTTCTTAACCCCAGCTAGTGTCAGAACTGTGACAGATGAGGTGTAGGGTCATTGGTATAACACAGTGGGATGCTCGAGGATTGGCCATTACCTGCAATAAGGATTGTCTGACTGAATCATTGATTCGTCTAGGGCCTGTTGCGCTGCAAACACAGCAAGGAGAGGGAGAGAGAGAGAGAGAGAGAGAGAGAGAGAGAGAGAGAGAGAGAGAGAGAGAGAGAGAGAGAGAGAGAGAAACTCGAAGAGAACATGTTATTGTCCTGTGCGTCTGAAACTTCGAAGCAAACATGGCTGTTTTTCACACCTGCAATCGCTTGGCGCACGGCTGCAAGTCCTGCAAGCTGAAACCTCGATGTCGGTAGAGTGCAATTAAGGCCTCCACCTGTGGTCGCACTAATCGAAGCGGTCTGGTATGTCGGTTGATACTCAACAATCTGGCTGTAAAACCAGACAAGGCTGCTGTGTTGGATCCTGCTGACCGTAAGGACCTCAAAGTGGTAACATTCGCTGGTTGTTGCATCGTGATCGTGCCCTGTACCGTCGAGGTCACAGAACCAAAAAGTTCTTCTCGTGGTATGGTTTCCACCTCAGTGTAAAAGTCTAATTGCGACGCAAGGTCGGCCCAGTCAGTCCTAGTTTCTGACATGCGCAAGAAGAAGCATCGGTTGTCTGCATAACGAAAGGATCGAAGGAGTCTTGCTGCTCGGAGTTCGCTTTGGAAACTGCGAATCAGTAAATATTCCTGTTCCGCTGCTACCAGCACAAGCAGAACTGGTGCTAAAATTAGGCCCATGCTGGCTTCCAGAACCTGCTGAAGAGTACCCTGGCCGACCTTGAAGTAAGCAGACTTCAACAAGAACCATGTCATTTCTATGACATGCCGGACATGTAGAATTTACGTCGTTGAACTCCGAAAACGCTATCGGCCTTTGAAGACCCTGAGGTCCTTAGTGCCCGCTTACCAATCCACCTGCAAAGCTAAGCGACCTGCGGTCTGACCGAAACGTCCTTGAAGCTTCCAAATCAATAGTTGTAGGGGTGCACACGCGCGCGAATGAGGCACCGAGTCAAAAACCCGACAATATCTACCTGTTCTTCATCTCCAGGATCCAAGTGCTGTATGTGCCTCCAAGCCTGTCTCAACGCACTGGTGGCCGAGTAATGTTCACGTGGTGCCTTCAGGAAAACTGACCTGCATCAAAGAGAACAAGGCCGTGGCAAGAAACAGGCTCGCCTTTGTACGCCAACATTTCGTGCAAGCGATGATCGGTCTAGCTGATCCTTTAGGTAGGATCCTGGAATTCGAAAACCTCAGTTCCAATCAAAAGACCATCTGTAAGGCTGCAACTCTGAATCTGAAAAGTCACTATCCTCTTGCAAATGCCTGAGAAGGCGGCTGTGCCGTCCTTGCAAGATAGAAACACTGTCTTATCACGGAACGTATTCACCAACAGTAGGTGGTAATGAACGGGACAAGAAAGAAACAGCGAATTCGGAAAGCGATCGGCAGGTCCAAGTAGCAATGACTGCAGCAAAGGTCGGACTGCCTGCAAGATGGGTTTTCGGCTCCCAGGTAAGTCCTGAATGAACCAGTCCTTGTTCATGCAGAGCCCATTGCTTGTCAACCCAATCTTGTAACTGGTTCGCAATGTCAGACGGCAGTTTCCATCGCCCGCACCAAACCTGTAGCGTATGCAGCGACTATTCGCGCAGATCGTTGTAACTTCCCACCTCTAGATTGCCTTCAGACAAGCTCATTCTCAGTAAAGGCCAGCCACTTGCAGTGCAGGTAGGTCCTCAACTACCAAGCTTTTTTACGTACTTGGACACAACAAGCCTCACCTAGATGACTTGCATTCATTTCCAGCAAGAAGTTGGGGCAGGGACAGTGGCGTCAGGTCACATCATGTGTGCAGCCACTGACACCACCTCACTTTGACCGTTGGCCACAGCAAACTTCACCGACACTACATATCACTCGAATGAACTTCTTGACCTCAGCACGAAAGTCATGAGCAGCTGGTGGGAGAACGTTCTTGGGTGGAAGGTCGCCTCGGCAGAATGGTAAGGCGCTCTTCAGATTCTTTTTGGCTCGGGTTCATCCCGGAATTTGAGTAACTTTGCGCGCAAGCACAGACCTGCCAGAGGTGTTTGTCGAGAACGTAGCAACTTCGCTGCCTGAAACTTGTGGCAGTATCTATTAACACTGCTTCATTTTGCGTGTCTCCACTGTGACTGTATCTGGCATGTCGTTCGGCTCGTTTCAAATACCTGTTTCCTGTAGAGGAAGACGGAAGTACAAACCTGCATTCATGTAAACGAAATTTACTCAGCAGTGTTCCAACTCCAAACCAGGGCGCATTGAGAACAGGCTGATAAAAACGAAACAATGCTGACTCCGTCGCCAGGCGTTGTTCCGTATCCTGAACTTGATGCAGCACTTCACCGACGCCATGGTAAAAGTTGCCTTGATGCACCACACCTTCAAAGCAGGCTCGTAAT